CAGTTGCCTTCAGCAAGCACATAAGAGACTGGCTTTTTGGTGAAAAATAGAAAACAGATAGAGAAGCTTTTTGATTGAGGGTGAGATAAAAGCCATGAGTGGCTATTATCCATATCTCCTATTCCTCTGAGTTTGCAATAAAGCAGTCTCAGGGGTGTTAAAAGCTGTTGAGCTAGCATGAACGATTCTTTAGATAGCATTCTCTTTAAGCCTTCACTCCTTTCAAGCTATTTTCTTTCTTTAAAACTGCTTTATAATGCATGTAGTTTAGGAGCTATTTGTAACAAACAGAGAACTGAGGCTGCATGCAGGTACCATTCTTGATTAAACAAAGTCACCTTAGAAGAACATATAGATTTTCTATGGAGGTGCAAGGGGATTCTTTAAAAGGAACTCTGTTTTAAAACAGATGATGTGCCTAAAAAGCAGAGAATCATTTTTTGCTGCCACTGAACACACTCAGGCCATTTTAGTCATATTCAGGTATCTGGCAATCTGAGGTCATGTGGAAAGCGATGACACGTATGCTTTAATCACTAAAATGGTTGGGAGCAAGCTTGAATATAAGTGGCCCATAGGCTGGACTGATTTTATGGGAGTAGCCCAAACTCATATCAGAAAGAAGCCTGGCTGCGAAGACTGAGTCCACAGCCATTGGTTGTTCAGTTGTTTTTCCTATTTGCTGCCAGGTCTTGAAAACGTTGGTGGTGAGATCTTGTTCTCAGTTCATGATTGCAACGTGGGTGCGATGCAGACTTGATGGCTCACATCTTCCTTTTCTTCTGATATTTTTCCCCGAACTGAAGAGGAAAAATATAGCACACAATGCATCAGCTTCGTGTTCCAATACTGTGAATGTTTCATGGAGACAAGCCAGCTTTGTTCCCAGTAGCATTCTTGAATAGGATTTGGATGGAGAGTGTTCCTATAGGAGCAACTAATATGTCACCTAGAAGAGCAGCTGGTTTGTATACAGTCTCAGCTACTGAGCAGTTTAATACCAGAAGTAAATAGCATGACACCCCTGAAGTGTCTTGCATTCATGCTAGGGTAAGGCATAGCAGCAGTTGACTTTGCATGGTTTTACCACCTTTCTGTTTGTCTACTCCAAAGGTAAAACCTGTCATCAGCATGGAGAACATATTCATCAGTGAACATTTATTGACAGGAAAACAATAGAAGGAACTGAACACTTTCCAAAAACAATAAATGGTCTATAAAGAAGGTATACTTGATGGCTAAAATTCCACTTGTTACTGTGCAACACCCCTTGTAAGGATACAACACCCAGCAGAAGTATGCAGGAGTTAGTGGGAACAAGATTGAGCATGTAGGAGAAAATACAATGATCTTGTAACAAGCTATAATGCAATCCTAACTCCTTTGATGGTGATGCATAAACTTCCACTAATTCTGAATAAGTTTGGTAGAGGCCTAGAACAAATACAAGATAAGCAGTACAGGGAATCCAGGTTCTAGTAATAAAAAATTATTTTCTTGGAACTGGCGTTCCTTTTGGGAAAGGCTTCTTATTGGTTTTGTGGTTTAACACGAATAGGCATTAGATGGAAATGATTTCATCCTTGTTGGACTACTGTAGAAATGAAAAACATTATTCATACAGATGAGGATAGTACAGATACTCAAACACAATTACACGCTTCTACTGAGATGAAAAAAACAGAAGTGACCTGAATTAATACTGTGAGTGTTAGGAGAGTATGAAGGAAAGCGAGAAAGCTGAAAGAAGACCTAGATGTACAAAAGGGGATATGCTTTATAGGGTACGGTTTAAGAAAGAAGTGAAGAACCCAGTGAAACCTAGCAGAGGACCGGGAAGATGGGTGGTGAGGGGAATTCTCAGAAAAGATTCAAAAGGGAAAGAGAAACTGTAACATTGTTTGGAGAATGTAGGACATCTGTGACAGTTCCCTGCTGATTATAAACTGGTAAAAATGGCAAGTCGCTGGCTGCTTTCTATTGATAATTTGATATTTAGAAGAGATTTTGTCTCTCTCTTTTTCTGCCTCCCTTGGACTGGCAGAACTCTGTAATGAAGTCACAGGATGTCCTTCTAAAGAAAACAAAGACTGAGGGCTTTTTGTTGGTTTTTCTGGGTTATTTATTTATTTAGTTAGTTAGTTTTCCAGAAAGAGCCTAGCGTTGACCTAAGGCTGTTCCCAGTGAAGTCAGTGGTGAAACTCCTACCGACATTTCATTAGAGAACACTTCTAGCATCATGGAGGCTTTTTGAAAACTCTGCTTGCAAGACAAACCAAAAGCAAACAGTACAAAATGGATCCTGCAGATGAACTAGTTTGTCACCTTTTCTGGAACAGTAGTGATAGGACACGTGTGCAACCAAAAGTTTCAGAGTCTTTCAAAGTTTTCTGATGTTTTCTGATCAATGGATCCTAACAATTTTTTTAATGTAGATAAAAAATAGCATAAATGTACTGTCAGCTGTGCTTCCCAGTCACTTTTCCCAAATCCCCTGTAAGCACTTCACACGTTGTTACTGGCCTTTAGACCAGAGAATGACCAGCACTAATAGAGAGACTCTCTTATATGGCTTTTGCCCTTAGGCGGTATAAAACCATAGTGAAAGTAAGTGATATCCACTGCCCCAGACAAGTGAGAAGTTAAACAGGCAAGACATAGGAAACAGGTGCAAAGAAGGAGGGCAATGTGAACTCCTTTACTTGAACTCCTTTACTTGGAAATATTTGAAGCAACACCACAACACTAAGTCATTAGTCAAGTGACTTGTACATTTTTTCACATCCAGAAACTGTCCACAGTCAAGAATGCAGTCTAACATGCCTGAATGCAACTAGGTCATTCTATAAATATATTGTTAATGGGATCATGATTTCCCTATTTGTGTAAATATGTACCTGTTTCATGTAAGTGTTGGAAATAAGTAATTAATCTATGCTGATAGAACACTCTGAAGGTCTGAAACATTGTACGCGGTTCATATTACTGTCATAACAGGTCAGGTCCTACAGATCTGGTACATTAGTTGGCTTTGAGCAGATGTGGAAATGCTGTATATACCATTGCTAAAGGTACTGCAGTCATTGTTTTCAGATACTTAGAGGATACATACGCTGGATCACTTTCCATTGTGTTTAGACCCAACCTTGACTTCAAGTGTTCAGATTGTCTGCTTGTGCAGCTCAAGAACGTGGAACTCAAGGTCCTAGATCCAGTTGAGTGTTTTACATTTTATTATACACAATAAATGTAATGATGGGTATGTGCATTTCAGGCTATTGGCAGGGCAAGATAATAGGGCACACTGCTGATTCACACTCAGTCAGAACCTCCACGTCCCTTTCTGTAAGGCTGTTCTCCAGCCTCTCATCCCTCAGTCTGTACAGATATCCAGAACTGAGCCATCCAAGGTACAGAATCTAGCATTTGCTCTTGTTAAACTTCATGCAGTTGATGAGTGCTCAAACCTCCTATTTGTCATGGTCTTTCTGCCAAACCTCTGCCCCTGGAGAGGGAGCCAGCAGCTCCTCTTCATTAATATCATCTGCAAACTTACTTAGTATACATTCAAGTCCTGCATTCAGGTCATTTATGAAGATACTGAAGATAAGTAGCCCTAAAGTGGAATCCTGCAGAGCCCCACCAGTGACTGTATGCCAGCCTGATGTAACACTATTTGCTACAACCCTTTGAGATTAACTTATCAGCCAACTCTTCACCCATCATATTACATACTTATCCAGCTGCATGCTGGATATTTTGTCCAAAAGAATCTTCACTTCTTTAAGATCTAATTCAAGAGCTTTATGTGGCAAAATGAAAAACATTTCTCTTAGAACAGTTGCAGTATGGACTTCAGATCAAATGGTAAGACATGCTGCTTTAATCCCTTATGCCTGCCTCCTTTAACCCCATGTATTTCTGACTTACTGTGAGGTTTTCTCATGGGTTGTTCCAGGAGTTTTCAAGACTGTTCACCTCCCAGATGACAAATTTTCTTATTCAAATACTTGGGACTGCAGTCACCATGATGCCAATGTCTTCTTTTTTTTACTTTGCGTGTTCTTACACTGTACTGTTTTCGTTTCCTGCTCTCTTCTGCGTTCAACTTATACCCCAAGGTGCTCTGCCAGGTAGTGCTGTTCTTTCCCAAATTACACTTTCATTAAGGCTGGCAGCTGCCTCCTCCTAGAGAGTCAAGATGCCACCTATTAACTGAGTGACAGTAACTTCTTCCCATGTGAGGTCAGAGGGTGTTGATTTGGCTAAGATCAGGTCTTACTGGGAAGCCAGGAGACTGAGCACTGCCTTATGACTAAGAACCAGTGACTTCCTATTTAGAGCATCCTGTGAATCTAGAATTTGCTCCCACACCAGCAATGATAACCACCCTGTGGGCTTCTCCCTAATGTTGCATACTCCTTTTTCAGGTATGAGGATCTCCAGTTGTTTTTCCAGGAGCCAACCACTTGAGATCACCCCAGAAACCGATACTTTAAAGACTCTCCAATGGGATTCCTCTGGATGAACGCCGGGGACTGTTTCTGGTAGCAGAGTGTCTGTTTTGGAGGGTGCGGTGCTTCTGGCTTCATTTCCCCTTGAAGGTTTCAGGTTAGTGCTTGCACACAGGGAGAAGATTGAGATGAGATCTCATCCACAGTTGTTCGTTTTACAATTCTATTTAAAAAAATAACATGGGGGAATTTTCTAGATTCCATCCAATCCATAATAACTTTTGAAAAGTTAATTTGCTGCAGCTGCTTTATAACTTCTCCTAAGGCCACAACTCAACATGATTACACAACCGCAGTAACTTTTATGGCTGAGTGGAAACACTATCTTGGTTTTGTTGTTCTACAAAAACCAATATTTGGTTTAAAGATTCCCTTGGATTTTTAATCCACTTTGCTAGGAAATCTCACTCACCACCAGTATTTTGAGATACTTCACCTGCTTTCGTACTTCTTCTTACTGCATATTCACTAGGTTTAATTCATACTGGAAAAAATGACAGCCCTCCATCCTGCAGGGGAACTTTCTGAACATGAATTACGTCATATTCGCATCTTTTGTTAGGCTGTACTGTGCAGGTCTTTATGGGGACTCAGCTTATGTACTTCATTTCTTCTTCCTGATAACCTCCTCCCGTGTGAGAACAGTGTCAAACATAGCATCCAGCTGGCCGGCCCCTGGGTATGCTAATAAAAGTTCTGCTTCTCCAATCATCCAGCGTTGCCCGAGGAGTCTGTCAGCAAAAATAAAAAGGATATTTCTATTTAAATACCATACAGTGCCTGCACATTGGAAATATTTTTACCATGGTAGCATACATGCCACTACCAATAATGGTGTATTGTTGTTATATGTTGGCTGTTAAAATTCAGCCAGCACTAAAAATTGTCATAGCAAGTCCTAGTATAGAAGTTATTTGTTTGTTTTCGCAGGTTATTTGAAACAGGGAATGAAAAATAATTAGTGGTTTTGGAGTTCTACCTTGCATTTTTCTGCTTAAAAAGGTCTTAGATTACATTTGATGATGATTGGATCTTAACAGAAGGCTTACATCCTGGGAAAGAGTGGTACTGAAGAACTAGTGGGCAAATTTTGGGGTTCATTTTGTTAGGAAAAAAAATGCTCTTTCCTTTTCGGGGTGAGAACAACTGCTACCGCTTTCTGCCCAGCAAGTGTTCAGTTTACACCACTAAAAGTACAAAAGGGATACTCAATGACAATTCAAAATCAAGTATAATTAGAGAGGCATTATAAACATTAGTACTAACAGTCATTTTTGCATTTCTCTGTTCGGATAAAGGATTAAAACATTTCCACCTATAATGTACTGAGCCTCTGAAAGGCCTCAAGCGATCCAATTGTGCTCCAGGGTCCTCTTCATTCGTAGGTGGAAGTTATTGGCTCAGAGAGATGAATCCCCATATGGTCAGCCTTCTAACTGAAGACAGACACCTAAATTTGTACACAGATAATTGGTCCGACAGCCAGAGAACACAGTGCTCTTCCCTTTATTCAATAGGAAGTTTGGCTGGCTGTATAACATGGCCATAAAGGTGTCAAACTGGAGACATATAGACCAAAGATTTTATTTTTAAATGGCTGCTGAAAATAAGGGTCCTAAATCTATACTTCGACAAACAAACACACACCTGATTTTCAAGCTGCTGAGCACCCAGTGGCTTGGCCACAGGTTTGAATACTTTGGCTTACGTGACATGTCCGAAGCCACACAGGAAATCTGCTGCAATTCCAGGAATAGAGCAAAGATCCTGTGCTTTAACCACAAGTTGGCTATGTTTTATTTGTCAGCAGTCATTCCCACAAGGAGACTAAACCAGGGATCTCACTTTATCTAAAGTCAGCAAGGTTACCTACTAGCAATGTAGCTAAAAGATATTCCTTGTTCTCTGAGCAGTAAGTTGTGTAGAGGACCCTGGAAGAGCAGCTTGGTGCTTTGAAGAATCTGACTTGTTAGGACACACCTAAGTAGACATCAGAGATAAAGGACAATATGTCTACGTCTCTGTCATCTGCACTTCAGGCTACTGCATGGGTTGAAACTGCAGATTGGAAATGCTGTTGTAGGTGGGAAGGTGAGCAGTAGGCATTGCCCTTTACTTTGCTTAAAAAGCTGCTTCTGTGGTATGCAGCAGGACAGAAGCTCCACTATGCAAAGCTGATCCTTTTTTTGATCAAGGCACGTGAAGGTAGCAGTCTAATCCTACTTGTGGAAGTGAGTACGTAGGACATTGCTCATGTCCCCTACCTCATATGACTGAAGAGCCAGTATCAGTCTCTGTGTTGCTCTCTGGCTTGGAGTCTGTTCTGAAGTCTAGTCTTGCCCTCTGCCCACACTGTTTGCATACACATGGCAGCAGAGGTGGACTTCTGACTCCCTAAAGCAGAAGAGTTTGAAGGTCAGTGGCTGGAGCTGGAGCCCACATTCTTCTTTCAGTGAGCTAGCTGTATGCAGAAGTACAAAGCATATCACAGGCCAGGTATCAAACAAACAGCCCAAGTGTGGTTTCTCCAAGAAGGGCATGAGACAGGTTGACCAGAGAGACAGTGGATGCTCCATCCCTGGAGATACTCAAGGTCAGGATGGATGGGGCTCTGAGCACCTGATGGAGCTGTAGGTGTCCCTGCTCATTGCAGGGGAGTTGGACCAGGTGGCCTTTAGGAGTCCTTTCCAACTCAAATGGTTCTGTGATTCTATGATTCTATGTCCATTTAGCATGGATGAGAAGTGTGCTTTAAGCCAGCCTGTGAGTCCAACTTTGCAATACAGGGATCTCCACTGCCATCATGCTACCAAGCTGTGAATGCTGAGTGGTACCACATATATTGAGACCAGTAGAATCCTAAGTCTAAAGTGATGGAACTCAGGATTCAGTGATGCAATACTGCTTTATATTATCAGGGAATTACTCTTTTTTTTTTTTTTTTTAATGAAAGAACCGATTGCTGTCTCTCTGATTACACTTAACTATATTTCTCGTAAGTACCAGAATAAAGTTGAAAATCTGTTTTTGCACATTGTAGTTTATGCCTATTAGTATGAACTATTTTAAATGGAGCTGTTTAGCAGGTGAGAATGTGCCGCAGGGAAAAGGCACTGAGCCATAGCTTTTATAAAGAAAATGTTGAGGCTCTCTTCACGGTATATGCATTTGACTTTGTATAATGCTAGACAGTGGTTTCCAAATGACATCTTATGTAATTCCTAAGTCAAGTAAGATAACAAAAGGGGCTGTGTTGCAGTCAAATTACTATAACTAAAAACCTTCTCAACATTATACTTATATACTTATTGCTAAACCAGTGAAGACAATTACAAATTACAAAGTAGAAAATGTTCAAACATTCATTACCATATTTCTTATATCAATGCAAACTGCACATTCCTCTTAGACACATGCCAAATGTGTGACTTTAAACAAAACATTTCTTGAGTTACACACGTACAAAGAGGATCTGAGTGATTTTCTTAATTGTTCTGATCATTTGGTTCTATCTGAACAGATTTTTTTTCTCTCTTAAAAGGAAATATATTGAGCTGTGGACAGGGCAAACACAGAAAAATTTAGGCTACACAGTAATATGAAGGGGAACAGGGGAATTGTAAGTGACAAGTGGGTTACATTGAAAGTCCCATCTTGGTTTCGACAATAGGGCTGATATCTTGATCCTTGCATTTAAGAAATGTGGATTTCCACATACTAAGCATCTTTCATGAATTACTGCAGATCTGACACATTTGAGTTATTACGCTCCTCCTGGGAGATTTTTAAATCCAGTTGTAACAACAGATTATATGAAACAGCTGGTCAAACAGAATGAGGAACCAGTTCATTGGCATCTGATGAATTAACAAAAACAGGCACAATACAAATTTCAGCAAGAACTAGTGATTCTCCAGGAGAACAGGAACCAAAAAGAAAAGAGCAGGAATCAAATTACAGCAGCTGTTTGGCCAACAGGTAGGGTAACTATTTCTTCATGGCCAAGGCTTGGAAGATACATAAGAGACTTATTGCAGCTTCTGCAAATAATAACAAAAGAACAGTGCTTACAGAAGTTTATGCATCAGACTGTCTGCTAATGCAAGGACAGAACAGGCTTTGTTTTTTCACGAGGGCTGAGTGGCTTTACAGACAGCAATCCTTTGCATGTCACAAATCCAGTGGCAAGAAGAAGTCTTTGAGTATCAAGACTATCTGAAGAAATGGGGAGAGGTGTTTCACAACACTGATGGAACTGAGCTTTATGGTGCTCCTGTCTTCTTCATATAGACGTTCCCACGCAGTGTGTTATCTTTACAGGGAATATCCTGAGAAATCATATTAAGGTGAAATGTCAGGAGAAGGAGCTGAACAAAGCAACTTGTAAAATGAATAGAAAGGAATTAGCAGGGCTAGGTGGCTTTTACCCTGGACTGCAAAGGGAAACCAAGTGGCAACAGTTGAACTTACAGTGTGTGCTCCGTCACTACATCTCTGGCATAAAGGACCATGGACCATGTGGATAATGGTGATTGGGCTAAAATAAGGAAGTGGTTTCAAACTTAGAGAGAGGAGACTTAAGTTGTACATAAGGAAAAAGGTCTTTTACAATGAGGGTGGTGAGACACTGGCACAAGTTTCTCAGAGAGGTGGTGGATGCCCCATCCCTGTAGACACTCAAAGTCAGGCTGGACAGGGCTCTGAGCATCTGATGGAGATGGGCTGTTCCTGTTTATTATAGGAAAGTTGGACCAGATGGCCCTTAAAGGTCCTTTTCAACTCTAAAGATATTCTGTGATTCTACGATTCTAAAATGACAGAAGAGAGAACAATAAAGATGATGAGAAATATAGATGGGTTTCTGTAGGAGAGGAGGCTAACAGATTAGAAAAAGGTGGGTAGTAATATAGATCCATAAAACCATGAAGAATGAGGAACAGGGAAGGATTACTCATTGTTCCTTGTAATAAAAGCAGTAAAAACAAGTTAATAAAAGTATCAAGTAGAGGTTTTAAAACAGACCAGAGGAAGCACTTTTTAATGCAATGTATAATTAAGTTGTGAAAGTTTTCATCAAAACATACTGTGGAGGCCAAAGGTTTAAATCAGTTAGAAGACAGATTAAATAAATTCATATAGGACAGTTTTTCTTTGTAGTTAATTGACACTGGCTGCAGCCTCCAGCCCAAACAGTAAATCACTGATTGCCAGAAATGCAGGTGTGTTAGGGAAAGGAGCATGTTGTATCTGCTATTCTCTATGCTCTTCCAAGTCATGAACAAATACCGCTTTTTGGGGAGCGATACTTTCCCAAGGCCAAGGCAATCCTTAAGCTGTGGCTATCTCTGGTGGGGAGATGGATCTTGAACCCTATCCTTGTGGCAGGGCCATGAAAGGGAGAACTCCCTGCATTTGAAAAGCAGGTGTTTGAAAGGGAAGTTCAGTTCAATTCCTGAGGCAAAGTTACCATTCTTGAGCACTCCGCCACTGTTTGGGTGGTTGTGTACATTTCTGCAGGTTTCTTGGATCGTCTTTTTAATCAAGTTAGAACAGGTAAACCCGTGTCTATAACCTGTGTCCCAGGCTCTGCCATTTGTGGCTTACGTGAAGGCAGCACAGAGTGAGATGGAGTAATAACCACAATCCTTTACTTCATCTGAGACAAATGAATATCAACTAAAGGTTTGTCTGCTTGACTTACAGGAAATGAATCTGGAGGGTTTGTTATCGAATCCCTGGCATTGCTATTGTGGATGTAGCCCTCACTGACAGTGAGACTAGTATCATGACTTTACCAGGGACTTAACTGTGATGTATATCTTTTATACACGTAAATTTTCTAGCAATACTTGCTCATGCTGCCATTTGTCCTTGCACTGAATAAATGGCTGGGTACACAAGGACTACCTCAGCTTAATAACTAATAACTGATGTTATTATTTGCTGAATGCTGAAGTTTATGTCAGCTGAAGATTAAGGAATCACAGTACTGAGATGAATGATGACTGAAGGTTTTCCGTTTGTTTCTGAAGCTTCTGTCTTGTTCGGAACTGGGGAGATCCTACCATAACTCTGGACTATCTGCTACGGCCAATACACTGTTACTAACATGTCTTAAATGCATGAAAATTCCAGAGAAACACCTTGGAATTTCTGGCAATTTCTTTAAGTGCATTTAAAGGTAAGAAGGTGTGTTTGATGATACCAGATTTTTTTTTTTTTCAAAGAAGCATGGCTTTTTTTTTGTAATGGCAATGCAGGCTTCTCCACAGTCCTTCAGTATGTTTACCTCTGACCTAAAGCAATCCAGAGTACTGCACTTGCCCATGACTTTTGAGGCATGAGATTCTAACAGATGAAATCATTGAAGACCCAACTCAGTCTTCTGCAGTAAGGTACATTGTCATTCTTACCTAAGCGGGAATAATAAGTGAAGGAGAAGAGAAAGATGTGTGGGACTTGAAGCAAGTAAACTTCAGGCTATTGGCTCTGAATTTGAATTCTGCCCTTCAACTCTGGTAGACAGGAGTCATCTTCGGGATTAAACTGGAACAGTTTGTTTGGTATCTCAGTGGAGCAGTGGAACTCCGTCTCTGTCTCCCACCAGCAAATACCAAATAGTTCAGATGTTCTCCACCCACAAATCAAAGCGAAGTTTTAGCCAAGTTTTCAATGGATCTCGCACATAATGAAGTTTTCAATGGATCTCACACATAATGTTCTTTTTATTTTTCACTAGATGTAATGAAGTTACTTTTTTTTTTTTTTTTCTACTCACGACCTTCTTAGACAATTTTTTCCTCACCAAATATGAATGTCATGTTGTGATCTATTTGATGGGACTTGGTTGTGACATTGGCCATTTCCCATTGTCTATTTATCTAAGATAGAGAACATTACTTGTCCCTGGAGTCTGAACTCCATTAACAATAAACACTCCATTGAAATATCCACAAGATCTTTTTCAACAGGCAAAAGCCCAATAAATTCTCAGCTGTTCAAAACGTGTAAGAATGAGTAAGAAAATGTGGCATAAAGGTTTTGGATGAAAACCTAAGTATTCTGTTATCATGCTGAATGTCAATTGAGGATTTTCCATGGGGAACTAAGCTGTTTGGCTGATTTACTGTATAGTAGTCAAATATTTCTGGCTTAGAGCCTTTTGCAAAGTTATTTTAACAGATTAAATAGGAATCAGGGAAGCTATTAATTTTTCAGTCATATGATCTTATTTTCACTCTTGTAATCAAATCGTATTCCCACCCCCACAGTTTTACTAAAGAAATGTGAATCTCATACTGTGCCTAGAGTTCAAAGAAATTAAATTATAGTGAGTTTACTTTATATGGAATTGCTTAATCAGAATGCAGAGTTCCACTAATCATATTTAAATATAGTCACTGTAAGCCAAATATTGACCTTAGGTTAAAAGATTTTTATGGCTTATTTAATGGAGACCCATTTATAGAGCACCACAAAGAATTCTAAATCATGTAGATGCAGGGAAAAATGAGATGATTAGAAATGCAACAATGAACTGCCACAGCCATTGTCATTCTTTGGAAATGGTATTATTTAAAATTGCTTGAAAGATACTGTAAGTCTAATAAAAATAGTGCCAAAAAGGCAGAAAATGAATAATTTTTGGCTACAGAACAGTAGAGATTTCTAGAAGATAAACAAAAAATGCAATTAATTTTCCCCTTAGATCTTGATATTCCCAATATACTCTTCTGGACCATCAACACAGCGTAAGTGAGTGAAAGTAAAGATTTATGTGTGAAGACATATGCCCATCTCTTTCTTCTTAATTTTACTTCTTGTGGTAGTTACAGGGTCAACAGAGATTCTCAAGTGCAGAAATGTGTTTCGCTGCATAGCAATTCCTAAAATGAGAGGGAATTAAACATCTGCCTGGCAGTCGTGCCATTAAAAATCTCCCCTTTTCTGTTGGATTTTCGTGGTTGTCAGCGTTCAATCACGATTTTATCTACCCTTGCTTATGGTGTAGCATCAGGATAGTTTTAACTATATGCTATGTAGGGCAGTAGTGGTAATTAGCAATCACAATGTAAAGCTGTAGAAAAGAAGAATTCAGGGGAGACTCTGGTTGGGACATACAGTTTTACTGAATGATGGGGCTGCAAGTGAATAAACTTGAACTGGTGGACTCAGTACTCTTGCATGGTGAGTTTCACTTGATATCCGTATTTCCATTGCTTTTCCTTATGACTGTGCAAGTATTGCTCTGGACTTAGTGGCAGACAATTGGCAACATAAGTCACTCTGTCGTAAGTACGACCTAATTTTTAGTCTTATATACCATCGTAATCCATTTTAATCTTGAAGTGTGTACATTTTCACATGCAGTTTTTACAACAGAAACATAAAAAATCAAGCTTTCTTTGTATTGTAGCTATTTGCAACAACAAACTTCTTTCTTTGCTCTGTTCTTTTTCCATTTCACTTTTAATTTAATATTCTCTGAGTCTTCTTTAGCTGACATTTCTGAGAATTGGAGGTAGAGTTGAGTTGGCACTTTCTTGGGTTTAGAAATAGAGGAGCTAACCAATAAGTGAATGTGGGCTAGACAGCCTCAGAACTGTAGTGCTGATGGGCCAAAGTGGATATCCTGCGTGCCAGCAGTCCCCTGCAGATGGGCTCACAGGAAAATAGCACTTAAATTCTCATCTGGGTTCAGTCAAATCATTACAAGCCTTGTTAGTTCTTACTGTTTTATCTTTCAGTGCAGTGGCCAACTTTTCAAGGCTCAGACTGGCTCCTTGGGGAAGTTCATGTTGCAGCACTGAAACAAAGTGCAAACCCTCTATCTGTCTGTCTGTCTTTCTAGTCCTAAACCAAGATATTTATATCCTGTGTCTCACTGAAGCAGAGTACTCTGCAGAATTTCATGTATCCCACAAACTTGCATGGATGTGAGTAGGCAGAATTTGGCCTTGACCAATGTACTGTGAAGCTGAATCAGCCCTATTTCATGCCAGTCTTTCACAGATTTGTCCACAAGAATGGTTTCTGCTGTTCTGCTCTTCATCCTCCATGGCTTTCTTGAGGCGTCGGGCTGTGATCCATTCATGCAAACAAGAGGCCAAGTTCCTTGAGGGGCTTAGGGAATGCAAGTATGCAGTTGGCAGCTAATCAGCATGGAAAATCTTGGGTCCAAGAAAGGGAAAAGGTGAGAGAGAAGCATGCAGTGTCTCATCCTGGTTTCTCTTCTGTACGGCATATATGTCCACAGACTAGAAGGCCAGTGAGCTGCTACAGATACATTTAGTTGAGAGGCAACAACTCATTGGCCTTTGCAGAGGAAAAGGAATGAATCTAAAAGCAAATGGAAGGCTAGAAGAGACATCAGTCTCTTCAGGTCTTTTGCTGTGCTCTGAGAATCAGAAAGTGCACAGAAAAGAGCTTACCTCCCCTAAAAATTCCTCCCTATATAAAGGGAGCAGCAGCACCACAGAAAGAAGAGAGTAACCAAGGATGGGAAAAGACCATCCTAAACTAGACTGATAAGTAAAAGCAATACATGTAGATTAATATGATTGGGAAAGAATTCATCAGGATGTGCAAATAGTAGGCAAAGGGGTACATGTGTCAAAAGGGCAGTAGCCGAGGGGCAGGGTCCCATGTTCCCAGGGAACTGAAGGAGAAAGGAGTGAAAATGGGCAAATGTAAATGCAGATTCCCAAGTGACACTATTCTTTTGCCTCATGTTCTTCTGCTACAGTGGGAGTCACGCCAGTAGTGACTTGTGCCACTATTGCACAGTAGAGTCCTTTATGTGTGTATCCCTCAAGAAAATCGTGTGCTGGGGAAAGAGAGCAGAGGAATTAGTGAGAGGACAGAGAAGGAAAGACATCTTCTTCTATTATTGCCCTATTCCTACAGCTGGTGACATGCAGCTTGAAGAGGTCTACTGACATAAATTCACTTCAAGGAACTGCATGGGCCAAAGGTCTGAGAGATCTGAACTAGCAGTACCTCTGTGTTAGCATCTGTTAGCACAGAGAGATATATAAACCAATGCAGCACAGAGCAGCTGAAGAAGGGAATAGGACATACAGTGATCTGCAACAACCTAGAAATAAGTAAAAAGAAAAGATCATCCAGATCTCAGTAAATATTGAAAACTCCTGTATTAAAGATAGTCATGACCAGTAGCAAATGGGGAATCACACTGCCATTTTCCTTATACAAGTTCCAAGGGTTCTGCTCCTGGAAATGGGATTTCTTGGGTGAGGAAGGCTTAGGTTGAGACAGACCTTTCATGTTTGTTCATGGTGTTCTACCTTATACCTCACTGTTTTGGGTTATTTACTCCCATATATATTTTCTTTTTTTCTCCATCTCTCTTTCTTATGCTCTATGAAAATTCTCTCTTCCAGTGCTCAGATTTTCCTATCTCTTCATTGCTCAGTCTGGGTTCCTACAGCAATGAGTGCAGCAGGTTATGCTGATTCTTGTTTACATGAAGTAATCATCAACAAATCATTTTATAAGCCACCCCCCCATTTCATATAAAAAAAAAAAAATCAGCAGATTTCACATAGTTGTCAGAGCCCTCATTTGCTTCTTCTTTTTTTTTTCTTTTTTTTTTTTCTTTTTTTTTTTTCTTTTTTTTTTTTTCCTAGCACTCATATAAGAAACAGAAGTTAGTAATAGTAACATGCTGGTTTGTAATACTGACAATCAAGATACTATCTGTCAGATGTGGTCAATGTCCTCAATTCCACCAGAAAGCAGCACCAGGACAACCTCTGTTCACGTGCAGATATTGACAATGTAGGCATTTAAAACAGGGCTGGTCACCCTGCATTTCATTTGTAGTCAATAAAGACAAATAAGCACTTGCAGAGCACAATTCATCTTATATTAAATCAATCACCTACTTTAGGCCAGATGAGTCACACCCTAAAAGAACTTGTTTCTTGCCTAGCGTGAGTAGTTTAATGCAGGTGTCCATATTGTATTTGCTTAAGCTAAAGAGATTCACCTCCCCATGTCCTCGCCTCACCTCTGCTCCTCAAATAGTCAGCTCCAAGTATTTCTTTGACTACTGATCATAAGTCAGCTGGTGCTGCGAAGTAAGATATTTTGCAAAGTAGGAAAGGACAAGTAACTTCAGAGTCAGGAGTGCCCAGTCCAAGAGAAGATGAAGTTTCTCTGTTAAGTTGTGCAGCACAAGGGGATTTGCAGTTTAAATTCACATTTTGGCCAGCGCTTATGGATTTCTACAGTCCATCTTCATTCCTTTCCCCTTCAGTGAATGAACATATGGGAAGGGCAAACAAACAAATTGCAGTGAACATAGTTTTAAAAAAAGCCAGTGAACAGAAAGCTGATAAGAAGAAAGGAAGTTTGTTAGAAAGGTGGAATGGAAAGCACATCTCCTCGACTAACACTTCTCTCTGTAACGGCAGTCCATGTGAGACCTGTCAGGAACATTGACTCGAGGGTGCAGGGGTCTCTTTTTAAACTTTTAAGTTCTGCCACAGATAATAGTGTAATTTTATCATTTGATCATTTAACACTGGCACTCTACAGGGTTCCCTATGGAATATCTTGAAGCTACACAAACACAAATCCTAGAGAAAAAATATTTAGTTTTCAAAGACAATTGGAATATTTTTCAGACCAATCATTGTTTTGGCCTAGGGTATGCACTTTGTGCATGGCAATCTCCAATTTGTACCAGATGCAAAGGCAAAGATATTTACTACACATGCCCCAGACTGCGCAAATTCCTTTGTCTTTGTGTTCACTTAACCTCAGCTTCCATTCCACATAACTTATTTCACCTCAACTATGTTTCTTGGAATAACATTGAATTTTGGTCACTTCATTATTGGTTTTGTTTTTCTTTGGTGCACTGTGCGTTGGCTTGAAACACAAAATACTGTGGCAAAGGAATCCAATATGGTAATACAATCGTTTGCCTACTATTGCAAGAACAGTTTCCATTATGGCCCCTATTTTTCACACTCTTGTAACTTTCCAAAACACTCACCTTTGGAGGCAGTTTTCCCTTCTTGATGTTTGCCTGGAGGTTAAACTTGCCTATGAGAGCAGAAATTTTAACAGAGTTCTAGTCACATTTACATTATGGGAAAGTTGGGGAAAAAAGCCTACGATTTTTTTCTGACTTGGAAAGAAAAATTCTAACCACATTTCTAAGAAGGGCAACAGTAAAGCTGCTGAGTGTTGTAATTTGATGGATAAAATCAGTTGAGAGCCCAGCTGTATCTTATAGATTTTGGTTTTTTGACTTGTCTCAATGGTCCTGGTATCTATAGAAGTCTATTTTTGTTCAACAGCCCAGGGGATCAGAGCAAAAATGGCCAGTCATTCCAACTGCTAACAACTAATTTTTGTCCCTTCTTTCCTATGCAAGCACAAAATTAGGAGCTGTATTAACAGTTTTGTCTGTGAGAGTCTAGAAATTATAAAGTAAAATTTCTATTCATTTCAACTCTGTCCCTCTGAATGCAGGTAACTTTGTTGTAAAGGAACTGTTTGTCCAGTTAAATACAGAGAACTGGTGATATTAAAGGAGTTTCTGTCTTTCTTCTATCATTTCTTTCCTTTTACTTTGCTTTAAAAATCTGCATGATCTGACTGACGGATTTGGGGCTGGCCTGTAATAGTTTGTGAATCCTACATGAAGTCTGGCTATCAAGATATTTATTGTGTGGCTACATCTGGTTATTGGATTATTACCCATGTGAACAAGTTGTCTTAGCTTAATAGTCAAGCCACTAAGGAAAAAAGAAGAAATGAAATACAACAGTTCCAGAAGAACAACTTGTTAGTCAACTTATAGGGAACTCTTAAAACTAATGCCTGTGCTGCAAGCTGTACAGAAGCTACATTCACACAATGCTTGAGTTAAATAGCCAGTAAGATCACCTTCGTTGTTGAAAGAGATCTCACTGACAAATGCTGCCTGGATGAGAAGGCCAGATTTACTTAGGACCATTACAAGTTTTAGGTAAGATAAAGATGCAGGTTTCTTTACAATTGTGGGGATGTAAATATGCATGGAGGCTGTTTTAAGCTTTAAAACTCAATATCATTCTTCTACTGCTGAGAAGACACTTTTCAGTCACCTGGGTTAATGAACAGTCCTTGGCAATCTGCTGTAAACTAGTAGCTTCCAGTGGCAGCGGAAGTGTGAAGAAGCAGTATGTGGGAACACAGGTAAAAGGCTTGTCTCTAGGCACATGCTTGGTGAGATTAGAAAGGGGCAGGGCTAGAGCTGCTACTGCAGAAATGAAACCATGTACTTTTGTGCTTGTAAGAGTAAGCACTGTCTCCGGCGGTAATTCCAGAGCAAAAGCAGTGAATGAACAAACCTGGCTCACTCTGGCTTTATCTACATTGCTCTTTAAGGAGCTCCAATGAAAGGCTAGAACACCCTATCAGTCTCCAGGTATCACCAGTCCATAGTGTATGGCATTTCTGACACAAATCCCTGTAGCATTTCAGGCAAGCTCCCCTTAGTACTTAACCACAGTCACAGCTTATCTGCTCAATGCTGACCATGTTTGAGTGCAAGGCTGAACTAGATGACCTCTTGAAGTCACTTTCAAACTTAGCTATACTGTGCTACTATGGAATCATAGACACATGAAGGTTGGAAAAGACCTCTTGAGATCATCTAGTCCAACCATCAGCCTGCTCCCACCATACCCCCTAACCATGTCTCTCAGTCCCACATCCACACAGCTCTTGAACACCTCCAGGAGTGACGAGTCCACTGCTACCCTGAGATGCATGCTTCCAATGCATGCTTAAAGCTTCAGGCTCCCATAGGATCCTTGCAAGGCTGTTTAAGCAAACCTTGGTTCTCTTGCATCCACGTGTGCTGTTTGGTTTTTGTATAGCAACAAGTAAACTTACACTACAGCCTTTTTCTGAATAAGGACCTTCACAGAACCACCCTTATTTTATCTGGCTATGCATTTTCTTGAAGCTGTTCCCATGACCACACTGCAGAGCAGGCCTACTTTCTGATTTTGCCACGGAGCTTGGTAAAGAGAATGATGCTGTCACGTCTATGTGGCACTGTAGGTCGATGTCACTGGGGTGGCTGGCAGCACCATACATTGGCTGGATTATTCTTATGTTCCTGTTGCCAGGAGATGCTGTGAGGGAAAGCATCTCTCCATTTTTGAGCTCATAGTTAGGACTTGTGTTGTGCTATTCATATTCCTGAATATGGCAGTCACAAAAGGTTTTCTTGTGTCAGGGCTTCTCTGGTCACTGCAGGTGGCCCTTGAGCACACAGGTCAGAAGCATCAGTTGTCTGCATTGCACCTGTACTTCTCGGAAGTCCTCAGCCTGCCACTCGTGACAGATGTTTACTTTCAACTATTGACATATCAGTCTCCACAGTGTGATCATCTCCACTTTCATCTTTATCAGTTCTGTGTGACCCTCCACCCAGATGACCATGGGGAGTTCAGTCACATCCCAAGCTCCTGCCAAATGTGTCTTTGGGTGCTCAAGAGCTGCCAGAGCACTCAGCTGGGTGCCAGCATGGTGAGTGCTCTCTCACTCTGAAGTGAGAGCCTCCTCACCTGGTGCTCCAGGATGAGAAGAGGTCCTGCTCATCCAGAAACAGGGATGTGATGTGGTGAGACACTATGTTTATGGAATTAGATGCCAAGGGACTGAGGTAAGGGCCCTCCTACAGGTCAACGAGTGCAGAGAAAGGCACGTGTTACAAAAATACTTTATGGTTGTCAAGTGTAAAGTTTTTCCTGTGGTTATGGACCAGCAAACTGCATTGGCCTCACACAGAGAAGCTTCTGGCAAGAAATCATTCCTGAAAGCCAGCTCACATTATACAGCACTCCTGGGACTGCTGGCTCCATGGACAGAGCACAAGGCCAGGGGAAATGTGCAGACTGGTCAGCCCTTTCACCACTGTACCTCCCTGGATGCTGTGGACCAGCTTGGAGTGGTGAGAAATTACAGCTGTTGTAACCCAGGCATGGTACAGAAAGGGAGAAGATGAGGAGAGGACATAGAGCAGCAACAGGCTTGGCATAGAGATCCGCTCACCCCACACACCACATATGTCTTGCTCAACCAGAGGGGAAGGGATCAAGTCAGCTCAAATTGGACATCAAGCAGAGAAGAAAGCTCCCCATTGATTACTGGGGCAATTTGCAATCCCTGAGATCATTCATCTTCACCGTACCCAGAAAAGATGGGTCATGATACTGGTAGAAAGGATGTGAGCATAATCACAAGCCACATGCTGTCCTGGCCTTTTTTCTTAAAATACAACTTAGGCCTGAAATCTCTCTGCTGACTGCTCAGGGCAGTGAGGGCTGTTTGCCCTGTTCAGGCTAAAGGCTGTTCGCTTTTTCTAGTTAGATAGTCTTTGTAAAAGAAGGTGCATGATGCATCCTTCCCTAAAAGTTATAAAAATCAAGAGAACTATAAAATAATGGAGCTGAGACAGAATCCCAGGGCCACTATGGTGCATGGTGCCCTGCAGGCTCCATTTCTAGGAGCTTCCTGACCCTCACAATCTGATTGCCTCTGACTTGTGGGCTCAGCCTTGATGCTGAAGGCACACAACTGAGTTTCTTACCACCTTATCTGGCTGAATTCCTGAAGCTTAAATCTTGGGGCCTCAAAGAGCATGCTGATGGAGTGATCTAATCAAAGCAGAGCACCTTCACTTCAGAACTGCTTGCTCTCCCTATGCATTCCACAGCCTGTGAAAAGCTTCTGATAGTCAAGCTTTTACCTGGTGGTCAGTTGGGAAAGACAGGATATGGAGTTTCTCTACATTTAATTTCTGGGTGGACATGCACTGCCCACAGCAAACAGCTTCTGCCATCTGGAGTAAGACTATATGAAGCAATTTGCTTGTATGAGGTTAGGCAGGCAGGGCAGCTGTGATTTTCCATTAGGATGGCACATGCAGTGCAGGAATCCATATTTTGCTGTGCCTCCAAGGTGAAGTCCTATGTGGTAATGGAGACAGTAGACAATATTGCTCAGATGTGCTTCTAGGAGCTAATCCTCTGGCTTTCACTTCGACAGCTAGTGTGGCAGGGTTGTGTCCCATGGCTCTCTTGTTGGCCTCCTCCACAATGATTCATTGACAGAAATTACACCGGTCAAAACCAGATTCACTGGTTCACTTCTTTTGCTACTTTAAGCATTAAGGAATAGGGGAATTATTAATAAGTTATTCTGGAGCAACATAGATGGCAGCATCATCTGTTGATTCTTTAGCAGATGAGTCCTAGATGCTAAGTGGCCTGGTGGAAGATCTAGTAGTGTTACCATTGTAGGTGGAGGCATGGCAAGTTTGGCTTTGCTGAGATAAGGCCAGTAGACTGGCTGAAGGATCAAGCGCCTAGCTGTGAGATGATGCTGACCAGAGTTATCACAGAATGACTATTGTTGCCTGGTGGAGTGCCTACAGCAAAATGAGGCCTACTGACACAGCAATTGCTGACATGCCACTCTGACAGTTGTGTTTTCCTTCAAATCTGATCTAACCTGATGGTAGGTGAGCAGTTATGTTTCTCTCATCCAAGGGTTTTCCTGTCTGTGAGCTTTGTGAATCTTCACACTCAAGCAGAAGTATCTTTCCCTATCTGAAATGGTTGCCCCAAGGCCTTTAAAGCATCCTTTAACATCTTTCTGCTTTGTATGGTACTACCATCTAATTTGCCTTTCTCCCAGTGCCTGGTCTGGCCCAGAATCCTATACTGAAGGAACACTAACAGGACAGGCACAGCCTTGAGGGAAGGTGGGCATTGCTTTGCTCTGATCCCTCTGATGTGGAGACACTATGTTTAATAGCAGAGGGAAAACAAAACCCCACACATTGTCCCCTTATCACTCAGACTTGGAGCTATGGTCCAGCAGGGCAATACTAGACAGCCAGGAGCCTGATCTGGTTCAGCACTGCTACATTCCTGCTGTGTGGTCTTGGCAATCGGCTCGCTTTTCCATCTGTGAAACGGAGCTAGTGGTGCTTACCTTTGTTTTCAGGACGTTTCAGGTCTCAGCACGAAATGTTTTATGCAAACGAGGAGGGTTTCTGGTGCTATTTCTTAGTAATGAGCAGCAGACCTTGAATTTTGACCTTTACAAGTTGTTGTTTTTTTATGACTATCTGTACTCGCCTCACCGGGCCTGGACTGAGTGGACTGGTAGCAACTGAAGGTCAGAATTATTTTCCTGCCAGCTCTAACCATATAAGTAAGGGTTAGAGCAGCGCTGGAGGGAGGTGTATTTATGGGCATGCAGATGAGCTGCCACCACTTGGATGCCTTTCTGCTAGGAGCATAGGGAGGGAAGTGCAGCTCTGTGGGGACACGGTGTGGTCACTCTGAAAACGGCACCTGCATGAGCCGAGCCTTTGGCTGCTTCTACTGGCTGGATCAACCTCTCTCTGAACTTGTTCATACGCACACTGAAGAGCTCCTGTCAAACAAGAGAGAGCGCCAGGCTGGAGTATGCTCTGCTCTCCAGAATACAACGGCATCCTCTCTACGAACTGGGTCCCTCACTGTGACAACTGGTTGAAGAAACAGCAACAAAACAAGGAGCTCACCAGCTTGTCAAAACGTTAGGGTGAGATTTGGACAGACCCATCTCACACCTCCTTGGTCACTCAGGCAGCACTCAGACTGCCCTTCTGGTTCCCCATGCCCCTCCCCACCCACCGACCTGAGAATCCATTCCCTTTTCAGGAGGAAAATGGAATATTTCTGTTCTCTGGGTGAAAAGCAAATGGATTTTGTAATAAAAAAATTCTCTGTGAAAGGGGATTGTTGTGCTCTGCCTGCTTCTTATTGTGATGCTGTGATGCTGTGTACAGGCTGTGATTTTAGACCTCATTTTGCATATGCATTTGACATTGTTTCCCTTATTAGTGTTGACGGTGCCATAAAATTTACTAGGGACATTTCTCTGGGATCATAGCTAACGTATGGAGAGTTCAGGTACACAGTGATATGTATCAGGATCAGATTCTATTGCAAAGATGGCTCTGAACTCCTTAATTCCTCCTGCTAAATGGGATAATTGGTTTCAATCTTGAATGGGATAATTGGCTTCAATGCATTATTAATGATACCTGACACAGCATCTGATCTCCAGTTTCACAAAGCTCAGGATTGCTCAGATGAGCCTTTGGTCCTTACTCCTCTCGTGAAGTGAGCTTCAGCCACCTTTGATGTGATATTAATGATCAATTAAAAATACTGCTTAGCTCTGAATTAATAACAGGGATCCTTGTGTAAAAGATCAAGGGAAATTCTTGAGCACTGCCAGATTTTTGGGGCCTCTCAAGCAGACTTTTATCATCTGCATAGCATGATGTTAGGTGTAAGATGGGGCCTCGTGGGACAGCATACCCAAAGACAGCTCTGCTGGTAGCCAGGCGTTGTCTCTGGGTGGTATGTCTCTGCATCCTTCAGAAACAATGCTCTCACTCTTCCTAAGTCTCATATCAGCTATGGTTGCTGCAGGGTATGGCTCACGCTGTTCCCTCTTGGTGAGATAAAGCTCCCTTCAAGGTTCCAACGTGTTGAAAAACATCTCACACCACATGCAGTGCGTCTGGAAGCTTCCAGATTGTTTAGAGCTACGTGAGCAAATCTGTATCTGTATTTTCAGCAAATACCTTCAGAAAAGACAGAGCCTTAAAATATGCTGAGTTTGTAAAAAAAATCCAGTAGAAAGAGTGTAAGACTGAGCTGGTCTTGAGGTTAAAAAACTTTGACACAGAACTATATATGTCAGTGCAAGAAATACAAACAAAATGCTTAATCATAGAATCATAGAACGTCCTGAGTTAGAAGGGAGTCACAAGGATCACCAAGTGCAACTCCAAGCTCCACACAGCACCACTGCAAAAATCAGATCGTGTCTCTGACAGTATTATCCAGACTCTCCTTAACTCCAGCACTGGTGGCCGTGCCCACAGCCCTGTGCAGCCCATTCCACACCCACCGCCCTGTGGTGCAGCCCCTTTCCCTGACCCCCAGCTGCCCTCCCCTGACGCAGCTCCATGCCATTCCCTCAGGCCCTGTCGCTGTCACACAGAGCAGAGCTCAGCGCTGCCCTTGTGAGGAAGCTGTAGTAGAGCATCATTTTTTCCTCCACTGCCTTTTCTCCATGGCCATTTCTGCATTGCCTGTCCCTTTGCCTCATAGTTTGCATCTACATGGAGAAAGAAATGAGCAGAACCCATTTTAGTATTCACTGTAGAATGCTGACTGACTTTTGCTACTGGCCTGACATCTGAAGGGAAAGATAAACATTTTGCTATTTTAATAAGACTGCAATTGCCCCTTCAAACGGGAAATATTATTTAGAGCAATAATGCCGCAGAGGTTGGAGGGACCTGCAGCATCTGTTGTGTTCCATGTACTCCAAGCGGAAAAGAAGAGACATCCCATTGTTCTGTTTTATGGAAAAACATATCTCTGGAAGACATTAAATCCACTTTCGCTTCACTGGCAGGCACTCCAAAGCCCCAAATACTTTTATATCTAATTAGCTTCCTCGTCATGGATGATGATATTCAGCCAGGTTTCCAGGTCAGGCACATGGCTTTGAGATGTGTGCCAAATGCAGACAGATATGGAGCTTTTGAAGCAAGTGATCTTCTCCCCTCAGGTTTGGTCCTCTTGATGAGTGGGCATACAGGTGACACACTTCTCTCTCCAACCCATTTTGGAGCACATTGCTAGTGTGTTGGCTTTACGGTAATTCTCATCAGTGAGCACAAGGCTTATCAAAACTAAAATCTGAATAGAGAAAGCAGAAAATAATCAAGTTTTATAGATCAGTTCTAAGAAAAAGTCTATCTTTTTTGCCTTCCAAGAAGATGAAGGAAGAATAAGTACAGTTGAAGTTCAGCTTCTTATGTACTGATGATCTGCAGAATTTGAATCCAGGTCTGGATTCATATTTTGAACCATACCCAAGTTCAGGGAATTGAGGTCAGAAAGGTCAGGTCTGTCCCTTTGTGAAGCAATGCACCTGAAGTATGCCACCGAAATACTCCTTTAATGAAAGAATGTAGGAACCTAGCTCAAAATAGTGCCTCTGGTAAGCATATTAACTGTATCCTGGATAATATATAACACAATATTTTTCACCTTTCCTTCTGATTGGAGTGTAAGCAAATTTTTGATCATTCAACATATCTGCTGGGCAAAATGTAGTCACCCTTTCAGTCCTGAAAACATGTTAACATTTTCTTGAAAGTTGCATGGTACATTGCCCTTACTCCATGTTTCAGGGCAGAGAGAAATTTCCTTTTGTTGGTAACAAAAGCCCCCGTAGGCCAATGGGGCACGTACAGCCTTTGCATTCCAGTCCTAAGAATTATCTGCTGCCAGTGATGAAACTCTTGTGGCACTCGGGAGGCAGTGAAAGTTCTCATGTTGACTTTTGTGAGAGGAGGCTGAAAGCTTGATCTTTCTTTAAATCTGAGAACCCTTTTTCTTCTGTTAAAGCAATTGTTTGGAATGGAGCTCTTTAGCTAGAGGCTGGAGTAACATAGAGCCATGAAGGCTTTGATGTGGAAAGTGAGTAAATATTACATTTAGGACTTGAATTAAGGTCTCAAAGAGCCCCCTAAGCACATTAATGATCTCTGAAGGTTGTTGCTTATGCTGTAAATCTTCTAAGTGAAGTAATAGAATTGGTGTCCACCAGCAGATGGTGCTTCTGCCTGAGAATTGCTTTCTTTCATGATGATTGAAAGACCATTTCCTCACTCACATCATTATTGCAAATGGTCCACTGCATGCCAAAACAGTGGCTATTACATCACACGGGTTCTCTAATTGAAATAGTTCCTATGTATGCCTTTCTATCTGCTCACCCCTTACCGCTAGTGCTGATTTTCTTTGTAGCACCTTTGATTAAATGGAGAATTTCAATTTTAAAAGGTATCCCATAAAAAGTGCTTGTTTAGCAGATGTGATATCTGGCTGCAGAATTTCAGTCGTAGAAAAAACAGAGCAGAGTGATGTTTGTTTTAGCTTGGGATGCCTTCCTTGCTGCCTTCAGTTGAGACATGCATGTTCAAAACCAGGCAGACAACCTCACTGTCTACTAATTCCCAGCTCTCCAGGACAATAAGCTGAAGATTCTCAGCTCATGTGGAGCAAATGAGGAGGTGGCAAGCAGACAAATGAACACCCACTCGACTTCAGACTATTAGACTCTTCTCTCTAATTTTTGTGGGACTAAGTGCCAACTTTTGCTGAAATTTGCATTAGAAATCTTGTACTACTTTTTTTTCCTCTTTTTTTTTTTTCTTTTTTTTTTTCCTGCTGTTACAATAGCAGTAAGTGCTTTGAAATGAAGATCTAGGACCCCCCTGAATTAGACAATACATTGTCACGTTGCACATAAGTGTCTTAAGACTCTTCTCCTCCAGCATTTAAGATACCTTGGCAGTTGATACATCCAGTCCCATGGTTCATGTGCCACTGTTTGTGCTTAGCATGTTGTTGCATGTAGCAGGTATAAGCTCAGATTAAGCCAGTATGATGCTGGTTTTGGACTCAAAGGTAAGACTGAGCTCGCAGGCAGAACTGGGAATGGAGAAGGATTGGTGGTAATGTAAATCTCTGCAAGTACATGAGGTATGGTTCTCCTTGCAGAAGAGCAAAAACCAGGAGCTTGATTCAACATTTTGAGTCCGATTGTGGAAGTACTCTTGTCACAGAGATCATAGAATCATAGAATGGCTTGCATAGGTAGGGACTTCAATGATCACCTAGTTCAAAGATTTCTGCACTAGATCAGGCATTAGATTAGGTTTTCCATGGCCCCATCCAACCTAGCCTTGGTATTGAGACCCAAACCTGCCCTCAGGCTGCTGTACCCTGCTGCATTCTATGCAGGTTCCTCTCAACCATATGATGGGATAAGGACAGTGGTTACCCCAGAGAGAAGATGAGAACTCTGAATGATCTGGGTCAAGCAGGGTAAGGTACATCAGTATGAGATGGAAATACTGTAAAGACATTCTTACTTTAACCATAGCAATCACACACTTGCACACAGAAAAAAGTGCATACTCCAATAATGTGGATCCGCAGACATTCTTGAGCACTGTGAAAAGTCTGATTTGTTTTAAAAGTGATGCAATTCTTATGTAAAATGTTAATTTCTTCTCTTTCTTTCATCTTAGAAAGGATGAGAGAAAACCAGCAGTAGATGTGCTAAATTCAGCTTTTCTGAAGGAGCTGCTTTGAGGTACTGCTACTGCCTGAAACTAAAAGAAAGCAGCACCAAAAAGCATTCTCATGATTTTGATGTATATTCCATGCCACAATTATTGCAGCATAGTTTCCTGGACACCATAGTCACAGTATTTTTGAAATCGAAAGTGAAGCAACATTTTTTGTCTCTTTAATATAGATTTTAATATAAGATCTAATGAAGATGCCAGAGTACGGTTTCTAGAACACTGGACATAAGCAGACCTAAGAGGGCAATTAATCAGATGGAATCCAATTAGAAGATTACTTTCTTGTTCTCCAGAGATTGCTACATGGACAAAAAAAAATTATCAGCTGAAATCCCTCAGGAAGCTCACCTAGAATAACCTTCTTTTGCATCCACTCCAGCTCCAGGCAAAGGCTCTGATTCAGAAAATTCTCTTCATCCATGGTAGGTCTGAAAACCACGCCTGCAGAGCTTCCCAAAAGTGCTGTCTGTGGACCAGGCCCTATGTGGTCACCCATGGGATGCCTACTAATACAGCTGGTGTTTGCATGGCTTTGGCTGCCAGGGGTGCAGGCATCACTGCTGCAATAGGTGGGCACAGGAGTACCTCCAAATGGAGAAACTTTTAGGCACACGCTGACAGTGCTTTCTGCTATAGGAAAGCTACTGGAAGCCTGCCTGGGAGGGAAGGAAGCTCTCTGATGATGGCTTCCATGGCAACAAGATAAGGCCTTACAGAGTAAGCATATGCAGCTCCCAGTGAGGTGCAAACCCTAAATTGAAAACAGATGAGTGAAACAGGTGACTAATACAGATAATACCAGTGCCACGGGGAGGATGGGGAGCCATGAAGAGGATGGGAAACAACCAGATGCTGTGTATTTGGACTGTGACATTACACAGGACAGCCTTCAGCTTGGTTTTATACATAAGGCAGTGATGATGGAGCAGTTGGACACAGGAACCATTCTGAGGGTCTGGAACCTCACAGAACAACAGCATGGTTGATACTGGAAGAGATTTCTGGAGACTGATCCAACCCCATGTTCAAGCATGGCCACACATAGCAAGTTGTCCTAGTTAGAGAGTTGTCAACTCTCTAACTAGCAGGAGACTCCACAACCTCTCTGGGCAACTCATACCAGTGCTCCATCATCTACACAGTAGAAAAATGCTTCCTGATGTTCAGACAAAACCTCCTATGCTTCTGTTTGTACTCATGCCTCTTGTCCTTGCTCTGGACACCACTGAAAAGAGCCTGGCTCAGTCTTCTCTACACCCTCCCTTCAGCTATTTGTACACATTGATTAAACCATCCTGAGACTTTTCCTCTCCAGGCTGTGCAGTCCCAGCTCTCTCTCAGTGTTTCTTCATAGAAGAGACACTCCAGTCCCTTCATCATTTCTGTGGCCCTTAATTCTCCTTACTGTTCACATCTGTCTTGTACTGTGGATCCCAGACCTGGACACAACACTCCAGGTATAAGACGTAGCCCAGTACAGTGTACTCAGGGTGCCTCATCCCCCTGCCCACCACATTCCTGGGAGTCCTGCCCTGCAAACCCAAACTTTCATGCCTGTCCTGTAGTTGCAACTGGTGATGTGGTCAGCTGGCAGGGATGATGTAAGCAACACTATGCAGACAGTGTAAGCACCTGAATGCTGGCATGGTGAAAACATGCATGTGTGAGTGGACATTGCTTGCCACTTGGTGGCATGAGTGCTTGCTTTGTGTGGGAGCTGAAGATGGGCAGATTGCACAGCCAGTTCACACAGCTGGATTTCAGCCATGTAAGTAAATGGGCCCAAGGTCAAGGAAAGCTAAGAAAACAATAAATGTGACTATGTGCATGCAACATGCACCAGTTGTATGAGCAATTATTTCTTACCTCATGTGCTGACTCACTTGTTTCCCTTCCCTGCCACTGGACTTGCAATGATCAGTTGTTAATAGTTTTTAAAGTTCTTGGGGACATGTAGAGCCTCAAGATATGCTTTAGCCTAAGTGACCTTAATACACTGTTATGTGTAAAACACAGATTTTTCTGGAAAAGTAAACACCAGTTTAATATACCTTCCTTTGACAGTGAAGTTGGTGTAATGAAATGATGATATGATATAGGGTTGTGTAGAGCGTTCACCCTGTTTTTCTATTTCAGAAAAAATTCCTGCCTTGGTTTTTGTTTCCCCTTTCATTATCTCTCCATGAGTAGTATGAATGGTGCCATGATAACAGAGCTTTATTAAAGTTCCCAGTACAACCAAAGAACACCTCTATTTAACTGCATCAAGGCCAACAGGTTGGGAAAAATTCAAAGCATTTTTTTAACATGCATTGGTGGAGTACAGGTAAACCCAAAATAGGCAGTAGTTCTAGACCTAACTTGACATTTTTTTCAAAAAACTAAGCTTGCCAGCAGGCTGCACACAGGTCCAGTAGCCATGTGGTGATAGCAGCACATTTTAACACGACCTTACCTTAGTGCTGACCTCTTCCTGCCTGCATAGGGTAACATGGTACAAGCACTCAATGCAGGCTGCTGCTGTATGGACCATGCCAATAACAAAGCTGCTCAAATGCCACAGGATGAGAAGCAAAGCCCTCAGCTTTTTTCTTCAGTCTTCCTGATGTGGGAGGCCAGCAGCAGCTCCAGTGATGCAGCACCTGCAGTGATCCAGGTGCCTGGGTGGGATGAGGCTCTGGTGCACTCCCTGGAATTCACACATGAAATGGTGAGCTGAACTCTGCATTAAATTAAACAGTATGCTGGGCTCTAGATGGAGAGGAAATAGGCATGCTATTGGGCAAGAACTTCAGTTTCCTTCTTCTGCCATGCACCAACTCCTGAGGGTACCGCTGGGAAGGCGTGCTGCTCCACAAGTGCTTCCTTGCATGGCTGCAGGAAATGGAGCAGCATTACTGAGTGACCTGAGAGAATTCCACGGGGAGCCAGTTCTGAGTAGAAGCATTTCTTGTTTGTAGAAGACAGGTCCTGTTCATTGGCTAAATGTGTCTGGTAGGGATAAGATCAAGTGTGAGATGAGGCAAGTCTTGGTAATGCAAGGAAATGCTTCCAGCAGAGCTTGAGAAGCTTCAGTGTGTCCTGTAATTTTTATAAGATTTAATCCTTGACTTCAGCCCTCTCTCTTTTGAACAGCATCATTTAAAAATGGCTCTTGAAATGCATTCCAGCCATGAGGAGCCTGAGCAACTCTCCTGGAGAAACGGTTGAACTATCCTGCCCGTGTGAATCAGACCATTTGTTTTGCTGAGGAGTTATAAAAAGATGATTCACCCATATAAGACACTTTCCAGCAATTAGTCCTTAAGTCTGTAGACGTGTGAGTTAACAACATCAAGCCCTGCAGAAGGGGTATCGACAGTAACTCCAGCTCCAGTTTTGGCTTTCCTTTCTCTGTTCTCTCCAAGTTCCACACCAACTTCTGTGGACTTTAATTGAACTGGAGTGGATAACCATCTCTGGAGAAGCAGCCCTTGGCATCAAATCTGGCCATCTCTGTTCTGATCCACATCTCAGCTGTGCTCTGATACATTGGCATCATCAAGGGGGACACTGGCAAGAGCAGCAGGTTGTAATCTCTTTTTGGTCTCTCCAGAGCCTCTTAGAAAACCTCTGACTGTTCCCTGTCCTCCTGTTTGTGTTTACATTGTCCTACCTGGAGCTCCATCAAGTCAAGGCATCATTGCACCAAAAGGAGGAAGTCTGATGGGAGCACCCTGGTGGCATCTACAGTCTTCCCTTTATCTTCCATGTTGTCCACTGGACAGATAGTTTGCCACGTGCTTTTTTACTCTTCCCATTTTCTTTCACTTATCCCCTTTCCTGCCTCTCCCTCTGCCTCACCAGACAAGGTGAGGAGGTAGCGGAATCGCTGCCCGCATTCTCCACCAAGTCCAGGTGGACTGCCAATATTCTGGAATATTTGTAAACTTTGAGCATTAACAATTAAACTCCCAGTGCCCCACATGACGTTATGATGTGGAATACCGAAAACCAAAAATCACAAAACCATGACAGGGGTTTTGTTAAACAAAGAAATCAGTCAGAAGAATGCTGCCGTTCCCATTGCCTGTGTTGGATCTGGAGGTCACTTAGAGGCTAGTGTTCTCTGTGGATAAGGTGGGGATGCAGATGAGAAATAGCAAGGAGCCCTGTGAATTTAGCAGCTGCCCTGCAGGCATGTTGGACTACACTTTCCTCAGAGCATAAAGACTATAAACCATAGCAACAAAACTGCATGATTGCAATCTCTGCCTGACCATAATTTTTCCACCCCTGCAGTTTCGACTGGGGGAAGCAATGCACTACCTGGCAGGTGCCTGTATATCAGCTGCTGTGCAGTCCTAGCACTAGACACAGTGCCCTGGTTTTTCTTCACAGTTGTTTTCTTTTAAGCTTTCAGGGTTGGAGAAGCTGATTAAGCTTGAGTCCCTCAATATTGAATGCATCCTGATAACATACGTTCCTATCTCAGAGACACAATGGGTTTTCCTCACAGCCTTGCCTATGCTTGGGCTGCATAACAAAATTTGTTTAAAATCCACTTTCTTTTTGAATATTTTTCCTCTCACTTTAGTTATGACTCAAAAATGTTAGTTTGCTGAATATATTTTTCCTTAGTCACACGGGACCATTCCAGATGGGCCGTTCCACTATCTGCACTACTTTCACTCTTTCTGCACAAGGCATTAAGAAAAGTGCACCCTGATGCTGGTTCTCTGATGTGAAGAGGGAGTGATCATTATACAGTTATTATAATATTTAGAGGTAATTTTCACAAGTTATCATCATTTTGGGCGTATCTAAAGACCAAAGCAATAGCCAATGGTCCTCTTTAAATAATGGGCTCTTTAAATGTACCCAGATGTCCCTTTTCAGCCTCAGCCATTCTGCGATTCTGTGATAACCTTTAGAATCAGTGAAATGTAGAATGCCTTGGGTTGGAAGGGGCCTTAAAGATAATCCAGTTCCAAATCCTTTGCTGAGGGCAGGGTTGTCATCCACCAGATCAGGCTCCCCAGAAGCCTCTGATGGGGGCCAGCATATGCAAGCTCCCATTTCTCCAAGGATTTTAACTGCCAGCTCTAAGACATACAACTCCTCTGCTTGTATTTAACTTGCCCTTTACCCTTAAACTTTGCCATGGCTGGGGCTTGAACATATGGCCTCCTTGTAAGCTACCTTGAACCCGACCAAGGCATTTCAACAAAAAGACTGCTTCTCTGCTGAACTGAAGGAACAGAAATCCTGTGTGAATGGAGTTAATACTTACTCAAATGTATACTCAAAGCGTTATAATAGGCATGACACACAACTAAGACTCAGGGTTTCACAGAAAAGCAGAATATCACAATTGTTGAATCAGAAAATGTATTTGCCCTGCAGCAAAAAGAAAAGGCCCAAGAAAATAGGCTAAGTCTGAAAACTGTAAACATTACTCCCTGAAAGATAGAAGAACAGTTACATAAGAAATAAACAATTGAGAAATAACTACCTCACTTCAAAAGAAAATCCAATCTATACAGAGCAAGATATCAAAGCTGCTAGTTGTGCTGAAAACCATGCTCTTTGGTGGAAAAGATGTACAAACCAGAACTCCCTTATGCTGAGAAAGAAAACAGTATCCACTACGCTTTGGGTGAGTGTAGAAAGAACATTAAGCGATAATGAGTTGCTTACAGGAATGGCAAACAGAAGCAGAAGATGGAAGTGCTGGAAAGGTGGTAGCTAGCACATACCAGCCCGCTGCAGAGGCTCCTCACAAGAATGTGTGTAAAGAACAGGTAAGAGATCTAGAAGACAGGTGCAAAACAAGAGGTAAGATAAAGAGGCAATACCTTTAATTGCCAACAGCATCATGAGAAGCCATAAGAGCTGACAAACATCCCAATATGTATTAAAAGAATGGATTATAAAGGAAAATCAGTGTAAAGGAAGAGTTCAAATGTAAGTAATAAATGTAATCCTGAGTAATTTTAAGAGAAAAGGCTTTGACAGTCACAGTTAAAGAAAAACTATAATAACATAATGGCCTTAGTAGGTCTTTTTGTTTAACTGGGAGATCTTCTGAAGAACAACTTGAAAAGAAGCATACAGACCTAGGGATAGAACTGCTGATTTCACAAGTGTTCTATGAAGCTAATATAAGTAAGAGGAGGAATCTAGGAGGAAGGTACAAAGTTTGAAGCAGTGGGGAAAGTAATGAAATGCTATCAGCACTTTAAGTACCAGTGGTTAACTATACAGCATATCAGTAGCTAAAGGCTGAACAGATTGTCGGTTAAGGCTGCGTGTACAAAGATTTAAGGTCTGAGAACAGTGAATAATACAATATTATGATTTAGCCAGAAGAAATACTGAAGGAAAATCACATAGGTAAGTATTAGAGGATACTCATATTTCTTCAGTAACAATGCTTAACAAATATATTGTTTTGTTTCTAAGAATTAAGCCTATACAGGTACTCTTACAATTCATGAATTATAAATAGTTAATTGCAAGGTGAGGCAAGGCGAAGCAAGGGAACAGAAGGAAACAGCAAAATTGGTGTATAAATGTATCTGAATCAGTATTTAAGTATGTTAGCTGCTGATTACAACTGAAGTGTGAGGTTTGATACTCTACTTCAAAGAATGATGGAGATTTATGCAGAAACAAGTGATGGAAAATTATCCAGAAGGTGATTGAGTAAACTTCTTTGAAGAAAAATGTTCAAGCTTGTGGGACAAAGATTATTATTAACAATCATTGAACCACAGAGTTGCTTGAGTGGGAAGGGACCCTTAAAGGCCATCGAGTCTACCCTCCCTGCAATGAACAGGAGCACCCGCACCTCCAACAGGTGCTCAGAGCCCCATCCAGCCTGACCTTGAGCGTCTCCAAGGATGGGACATCCACCGCCACTCTGGACAGCCTGTTCCAATGCCTCACTACTCTTACTGTAATTTTTTTTTTTTCCTTATATCCAGTCTAAATGTCCACTCTTTTAGTTTGGAACTGTTTCCCTTTGTCCTATTGCAACAGATGCTGCTGAGTCTGTCCCCTAATCTTGTGTTAATCTTAGTTCTCATGCAGTTAAGTTCTCTTCTCACTTGGTTAAGAACTGAGTAGGCAGTCTGCTTGACAACATATGCAACTTTTGTATATGTATGTACACCTGTGTGTTTGTGCAAGCATGTACCTGCAAGCATTGGCCAAATGGGACTGGTCAGGAACAAACATCAGAAGAGGCTGGTTGAAGAGCTGTCTATTGGCAGCCCAGGGTAGCAGTTCCCTAGATACTCCTCTTGCAGCCTAACCTCCAGGGCTGTGGCTCGTCTTGCTTTTGGCAGCTCCTCTAATAGCATGCTGGTGGCTCCAACCGCCTTCAAGCAGCCAGGGCCAAGCAGGGCACATCCCTGGCTAAGTAAAGCAGGAAGCTGGACTTGCAGCAATCTGTTTGGCTCTCAGATTTCACCAAAGCAAACAGAACCAGCTTGCCAGTTACCTTGACTTCAAGGGCCCCAGCAGAGGGCATTTGGGAAACTTCCAGAGAGAAGTGGGGGATCAGAGAGGAGACATTGCCAGCAGCTTGCCTTCATGCTGCGAGGTGTTTATGTACAGAAAATCATCCAAAAGAAATTATAGGAGTAAACATGACAGTGTCAGCAGCACGGCACTAGCAGGACTTCCTCAGGGATTAATGCGTCCCAGTACCAAGAACGTATCTCCCTTTTTCTCATGTGTTCTGTTGATTCTGTGGTTGTCCACGTGTGCTTTATCTCCCTCAAAGCAGAGCTACTTGTGAAAGTGTTTTCTCTGCAAACTGCTTGGGTCTATCTACCTGTAAAATGCAGATATATTTTACAAAAGGGTCTCTTCCTTTTGCTTGTGGGGCACTTTGTGCACATCTTCATCTCCACCCTCCACTGAATATCGCCACCAGAGCCAGGAACCACTCCTGACTAAAGATGAAGCTGTCTCACTTCACTAAGCATGTTGCTATTTCTAAGGTGTGACTCAGTGCTTTTCAGTTAGGTGTCATCACGTGCTATTTGCTGAGAAATAAAATCAACATTAATTAATTCTTCTCTCTCTCTTTTTTAATACAGATTTTTGTTTCCTGCTCCAGATCACGGGTGATGTACACAAACAGGAGAGTTCACAAGCAGCAGAGTTTGGGGAGGCTGATCCTGGCTGTGTTTGCAGACCCGCTTCTTGCAGTATAGGCTTCATGGTCACAGACAACCATGGTCCTGGTGAAAGAATGGAAAACCAAACAATAGGAGGAATCTAGGAGAAAGGGAGGGAAAGGTTATGTTCTTTGTTTATGGCAAAGGATGAGGGAAATGTGAAACAAAACAAGGAGAAAAAGAACAGAGAAAGGATATAGAAAACCCATATGGGTGACCTAGTAGAAGTAAAGGAGCACAAAATTCTTCCTTTTGGGTGCAAACAGCATGGAAGACCTTCTATAGTACCTGCTCAGTGCTCAATCTCTTGTGCCCGTATCAACCAAGGGAATTATTCATTATTTTGTAGAGCACGTCCTTACTTTTCTTCTCTCTAGGTCAAAAAATGCCAAACCATAAACCTCTAGAGACGTTTATCCTTAGAAAGCGCTGCAGTGTTCTTTTACAATATATGAAATTGCAGTAATAAGAATAAATTATAGCACTCAGCATCGGACAGGATGACTGATGTAAGCTGTCAGCCAATGTTTGACTTTCCAGGTGAGATTAGATTTAGCATTTACCTTAATATAAACAGAAAGTGTGCAGTAGAAAGCACTTAATTAACAAGCAAGTGCTCAAAACCTTGTGCAAGCTGGAGGCTACTTGAAGCTTAAGATAGCTCTCCTCTTTCCAGAGTATCGCAGTATTATCCAGCGGAGTTTCAAAATCCTGATTGTTACTGGGAATCTCATTACTGAAGGAGACAGGAAAGGTAAGTTTCTGTTGCTAAGTCCTTATTTTTTATAAAAGAAAAATCTGATTTTGTTGTTGTTGTTCTGAGTGAAAGGAGAGCTGTTAGAGTTAGGGTAGTATGGTTAGGTCGTGGTTGGACTTGATGATCTTTAAGGTCTCTTCCAACCTGAGTGATCCTATGATTCTATGAAAAGCATAGAGATTTTGCACAAAAAAGAAGTTTCAGGAGAGTTTGGGTTTCTGTTTTCTTATAGCTTGCTTCCTTTCGTTAGACTGCCTTTATCCCATATGTTTGAGCATGTGTGTATAATTATACAGAGATCTACATGCACATGTACCTGTGTCCCTCTGTGTGTGCATACCTGTTCTGTGCATGCTGAAATCACAAAGCTATTCCAAGAAGCAAAGGAAGGTAGACCAATATGTATAGCACCCCTTCCTGGCTGAAGAACATTCTCTTTAGTCTTTATCTCAACAGGAAAATCAGTGTGCCTGGATGCCTGTAATATGGGTCAGGTAGGCCCAGACTCACTGAACTTCACTGAGGCATATTTGGCTTCCAAAGACTGAAAATGACCTGAGTAAGGAGTGGGACTTCTTCAGGTCTCTAAACATGTTGAAGCACTCTGATATAAGGATTCTCAGCTGGTCTAAAAACAGCTTTGACACTTTCGCTAGTAGGTGTTATTATTTAATCCTCATAATGCATACAAAACAAACCAATGTAATTGTTATAGTGTAGATATTTGATTAAAATAAGTATGATGTTGTCTTTAGCAGCTGTAACTTGCAAGGATGGCTGAAATACGAAACTTCACGTGGGCAGTGGAAGATATTTTCAAGGAAACTTTTCTCACTTACATGAATGGCTGGAGGAAAAACATGACAGAAGCGGCAAATGAACTGCAAGCCAAGGTTGATGCTGAAAACTTTGACTATGTTATCCTTTATTTGATGGTGATGATTGGAATGTTCTCCTTCATTATTGTGGCGATTTTGGTGAGTACCGTGAAATCTAAGAGGCGAGAACACTCCAAAGACCCTTACCATCAGTACATCGTGGAGGACTGGGGTGAGAAGTATAAAAGCCAGGTTCTGAATCGAGAAGATCTCAAGTGTGTGGTCCATGAAAACTTTGGTGCAAGGGACAAAACAAGCCCCGCGTCACCCTGACATTCCAGAAACATCAGCAAAGAGGAAATCATGAAGTCACATTTAGGGAACTCGCTGGAATTACAAATAGCTGTGAAATTGTTCATTAGATTTACACAGGTTGAGCTAGAATGGGCTGCTGAAGAAATCAACATCACTGTTTCCTCTGAGAACTCTGGTGCAGCTGCTTTGAGGAACACCCAAGAAAAATGCTTGACTTTGCTTTGATATTCTGCTCTTCAGGAAAATAAAGTCATGGAGAGAATAACTTGAATTTTTTAGCAATTTTTTGAAATCGAGAAGCAGATCTGGATTACTGAGCAGTAAACTTCAGATGAACAGTAGGAGTTTTCAAGTGTTTAAAAGTACTGATTCAGATCCCAATGTGTGACATAAACCCATCTTAAAATAACAGGAAACTGTACAATAAAATACCAGACCCTCTATCTATTGATTGAACAATGTGTTATGGTATGAATCACAGGACGAGCCTATATCTACACATGTTCAAGTCAATACAAAATGCTATTTTAATGACCTGGCTCCCATTTCAATTTCATTATTCATTGGCTACAAAGAATGATTCATGGCCTTCTGTTTTATCATAAAAGCATAGCCAGACTAGCAGTCTCATCTAAGAGTATCCTGGTTGTCCAGAGCAGCTTCTACAGTGTTAGTGTCTTTCTTGAAGTCCATAGCTGTCTCTTCTGCTGTTTCTTGGATTTTCATATTGATCTGTTTATCTGCAATGCAAGCTGGGTGATAGGGATTTCTTGCATTCCTATTAGCCAAGGCCTAGTGTAGATCATCATGCTCCTGCTATATATCTTTCAGAGCAAGGGTTTCTGTGACCAGCTATCAAAGCTATTCCATTGTTATGCTTTCTAATGTTTCCCATGTTGGGTACTGGTGTGCACCAGTCAGAAAAGAGATTGTAAAGATGGTTTATCTTCCCTGTGCTGCTAAATTACCATGATGCTGGCTGTTGGGGAATAATTAGAAGCAAAGCCAGTACTACTTCTAGTATTAAAATGTGTTCCTTTTTGCTCTAAGTTTATCTTCTATTCATATTACCAGACTTAAACTGCTTAAACTTGAAGTTCTCATTCTGGCTGTTGATTGTGTGGGCAAGAAGAAATGATGAAGAAAAGAGCTTATTTTTCTTGGAAGCTTTGGCTTGTTTTGGAGCCTGATCTTGTGGTATGGCATAACAGCTGTTGTTGTACTCCAGAACATGCTCATGTTATGGCTCTGCTCCCCTCCAGGTGGAAGGACATTCCTTACTACTTACCCTTGATGACCACAGGCTGTAAGGGCACAGTTAATAGGCCCACTGAGCAGCTAGAGGGATTCTGGTGGCCATCTGGGCCACATGCTGTGCTTCAGCTGGGGAAAGAGCATCTTTTGACAGGGTATGGCAGCAGGGACAGCCACAGTGAACCTTACCAGATGTGCCAACATCATGAACAGCTGCACCTGCTCAGGCTCTGCTCCCCACCAAAAGCGAAAGGCAGCTTCCATTGCTGGCTGTGCTCTGATCTGCATGTGGGCAGCTGTGACACTGAAATGGGAACGAGCACCTGAGTTGACTCTGCCCTTGAGACATGTGGGCAATGCCTTAGATCAGGCATGTCCAACCTGTGGCCCAACCCAACCACCCCATGGCCCATGCCATCATGATGGCAGTTCTGGTACACATTTTGACTACAACAGCAAGCTGTTCATTGCTGCTGAAAACACACAGTTAATGGGAGTGACTGCAACAGTGTTTTGTAGCTGACAATTTATTGAACAGTGTTATTATACTCTTTGTATCTGTTGTAGTTTCCCTGGAAATAAAATGGAGGCACTACTTTTGGAGCAGGCCAGATAATGTATATGCAGCTCACGACAACTCCATACTCAGTGCAGCCCAGGCAAGCCCAAAAGTTGTCCTAGTTCAGGTAAAAAGAGACAGCCCGCTTAACATACTGTCTTAGAATCATAGTATAGAACCCTAGAATCACTCAGGTTGGAAAAGAGCTCACAGATCATCAGTCCAACGACAACCTAACCATCCTACCCTAACAGCCCTCCGCTAAATCATGTCCCCGAGCACCACATCCAAATGGTTTTTAAACACTTCCAAGGATGGTGACTCAACCACCTCCCTGGGGAGCCTGTTCCAGTGCTTTACAACCCCTTCTGTAAAGAAGTTTTTCCTGATATCCAAACTAAACCTCCCGTGGCTGGAGGTTCCATGTCACATGGGGCGGTGCTGCCTTTGAAGCCGTTGTAGGGAACTGCTGAGGAAGTGAAGGCAAAGCTTTCTATGGGGAACTTCCGAAACTGAACAGCTCGCTAACAATGTACACACCTGAAGCACTCAGCACTATTTAACCAGCCAGCAACGCCGCTCTGGCGTTTCCCAGCAAGCCCGCTACCAGCACACCCAGCCCCGACACGGGGCAAGAGAAGGGGCTGCCCGGCCGAGCCGGATCGGGCGCTGCTGGGAGATGTAGTTCGCCGTGCCTTCCCGCCCACAACAATGGCCGCCCGCTGAGGTAGGGAGACGCGCTGTTGGGCCTTTCCCCACCGCCCTCTCCCGCTTGGCTCCGAGGCGGGCGGGCCGGCAGGGCCGAGTTGCGCGGCGGGCTGGCCGGGGCCCTACGGCGTGATGCGGTACCCCCCCAGCACGGCCCGCGCCGCCGCCGCCCCGCGGCCTGTCCGGCCCCCGTGTGGGCCCTGGGGAGCGAGGGGAGCTGCGGGCACCGGGAGCTGCCCAGCGCTTTTGCAGCCGGGGCTGGGGTGATGATGGTCGCCATCCGAGGTGGAGACTGCGATGTGCTGTTTGTGTTCTAGTGTGTTGGGTCGGTCAGGGTTTTATCCGGGTGCCACCGCTGATGCTTCTGTCTGCTGTGTGCTTTGCTTTGACAGCATTTGGAAGTGCAAGGAGCTGCCAGACGAATTGTTAATATTTCTGTTGCAGCTTCAACATATAGGTAGGCCTTACATATCTGTGCTTCCATGTGCCTGGTGCTGGTGTTAGTAGTTTGGGAGTGGTATGAACTGAGTGATTGCACAGGTCTTCTTACACAAGTAGGATGCAGAGCTGTTGGAGAGAGTCCAAGGAGAGCGCAAGGATGTTCAGAAGCCTGGAGTACCTCTTCTGTGAGGAAAGTATTAGGGATTTGGGCTTGTTTAGCCTGGAGAAGAGAAGGCTCTGGGGAGACCTCATTGCAGCCTTCCAGTGAAGGGATCTTCAGTGAAGGAAACAGGAGGGAGACTGACTTTTTACATGGCCTGATAGTGATAGGACAAGGGGGAATGGCTTTAAATTAAAAGAGAGAAGATTCAGGTAAGATGTCAGGGGGAAGTTCTTTCCTCAAGGGGTGGTGAAGTGCTGGCACAGCTGCCCAGAGAAGCTGTGGTGCCCCATCCCTGGAGGTGCTCAAGGCCAGGTTGGATGGTGTCCTGGGCAGCCTGAGCTGGTGGGGGCAGCTCTGCCCATGAAGGGTAGGCTTTGAGGTTCCTTCCACACCAAGTTTTTCTTTGTTTCTGTGGTGTTTTGGCTTATGGTCTCATGAAAGCTCTAATGGTCTGACTTTTTTTGACTTAATATTACCATTGCATCCAATGGCAGTGGTTTGTGATGGATCTTAGCACAGCAGCTCTGGCTCACACATGCTGCAGCTGTGTTTCTCTATAGTTTTTGGGCTGTGCCATATTACTGTTTTTTCCCCTCTGTCCAGTAGTCATCTTTTTCTTGAGGAAGAGGCATGATCATACCTTTGAGGTGCTAAGTGTGATACATGTTGCTACAGGTCAAGTGCAGAGCTAGATCTTCCAATGACAGTCCAGGTGAGAAGTATGCATTTTGTTTCCTGAAAAATAAGCAGCAATATAAACAGGTGGAATTAAACCCCTTCTGTAGCTCAGAGAATATTCAGCCATCACTCCATTTAAATACCTTGGTAGCTTGCTGCTTTCCAAGGCCTTCCAGCAGGTTACTTTTATAGCGTCTCACAAAGCGGATAAGAAGTGCTTCAAAATCCCCAGTCAATAGAAAAATGTCTCAGGTCCCCTTCTGTAGGGTAGATGGAGTTATTAATGGGTTGACTGAGAGTCTCAGCCAAAACAGCTTGAGTGGGATTGTGAGTTCTCAGTTGCCTGGTAGGAATTTTTTTGAGCATGCAGCCCAGTCAATATTCTGCTGCTGCGTAAGAAAACAATGGCGTTAGTAGCTGGGCTGTGATGTGGTTGCTGTGGTAGAGTACAGCTATAATTCAGTGGTTGAGAGACCTGGATTCAATTCTGTGCTTCGCCACTGACTGGGGCCCAGCTCTTCAGTCTGCACGGGGTGGTCTGTGTTGCACAATGTTGTGCAGAGATCTGGGGCTGGCACCATCTAAAAGCTAGCTCAGGGAATTGCTGCAGCCCTCCTTGGGAGCTCATTAGCCCTGCTGAGGACACAAGCCTCTAGGGCTGTGTTGTGACCCTGACAACCAGCTCTGGATCCAGCAGACCTCACAGCATCCAGAACTGACAGGATCGCTGATCCAGCACAGCACTAAGGTGCAGCACAGGCAAACTCTCTCCTCCCTTTCCCTTCTGCAGTAGTTTGATCTGCTTAATGGAGGTCTGAGTGTAAATAGGGTAGTGATAGTGAAGAAAGCCACAGACGTGTGAGTGATGTCATTTTATCCCTGCCCTGCATAGAAGCTTACGAGTGTGTGATGGATAGGGCATGACGTCTCTTACAGGGCTTTAGGCAGAGCCTAGTGTTCCTGCTTCTTTCTCACGTGGCTCAGCATGAGATCTTGTTTGAATGAAGGTAACAGTGACCTTCTGTGGGGCCCGCATTCTGCTGTTTGTTAAGGGAACTTGCATTTTCCTAAGGAACGAACAATGCCTGGCTGTGGATGTTTTGAACTCTTATCTTGGCCTTATCTGCCTCTGAAAAGGCAAACATGAAACTTCAGCTGCTTATTTGCCTGCTTGCTTTTAAGATATCACAACCTTGAAAGTACAGTGCATGAGCTTTTTACTTCTGAATTGGCAACATCAGCGCTAACAAGCATTGTTTTTCTGACGTGAAGTGAATCCTGCCATTTTTTTTCTCCTTGCCCCATGCAGCTCCACCCATTATTTTTTTTTTCTGTCATGGGATTTCAACTGCCTTCAATAAGGTCTGCATTGGAATGGAGACCAGAAGACTATAGAGGTGAAATTAAGAGAAGTGCTTGACTGCTGGAGGCTGGTGACATTGGGTGTGGGAATACAGGGAGCAGCAGCTTCCGCTTTTAGTTCCAGTCGTAGAAGTCTCTGTAAGGACAGATCATCAGAAGTATCAGCTCTCACAGAAAGCATTTTGGACTGAAACACTACAGTTGAAGAAAAAAGGAAGAATTTCCTTATTTGCTTTGTGACTTCAATGCAGCTACTCCTAGCGGATGCAAATTCAGGCAGATTCATGCTTGTCTCTCAGCAGAGCAGAAATATTGAAGAAGCATTGTGCTGAATGTTTAGGTAATTGACTTGCAAACAAGCGTTTGCAGGAGTGCATGCATTATAGGCTGATTCTCACCCTGCAGTCAGACCTCAGATGGGCTCACATGACATTTGCTTGGTCTGGAACTTTTTCTATACATAAAAATCTCTACGCTCCATTTTGAGTATCATATGCCAGATGCTAGCATGTTTTTGAATTCATGCCTCTTTACAGCATGTCACAAAACAGCTTCCAACTGAAGCACGGAATTTAGAGTAATTTAGGAGAAGAATGAAGACTGTATAGTGATGAAGCCCCCACCAAAGTCAGGATGAGGATACAAACCCCAGTTGGGCAGTTCAGTCCTTCTGTATCAGGCCAGGGTTGTATAACTTGGATTTTGCTGAGAAGTACATGGTTTAGTGGGTGTGGTGGCGATAGGTTGACAGCTAAACTAGATGATCTTAGTGGTCTTTTCCAGCCTTAATGATTCTGTGATTCGATGACTGTACACCAAGAACCACCTCTGATAGGTGATATTGGCTGTGCCCATCTGGCAGGGGTATTTACATTGTAATGTTTGCTGAAATTCTGGAGGAAACATCAGAAGTTATAATGCCTTTCTGGGGGAGGTGGGTTGGGTGGGGGAGGTGAAACACTACTGACTTGTTACTTCACAGCTACCCAGGCATTTTATCAACAGGAGAAGGGAGCTACACAACTAAGGATCAACACAGTAAATACTGGATGATGAGTTGGCTGCGTCATTGCTTAGATACAGTTAGATCTTGCTAGCAGCAGCTGACCTCACAGGTTCTGCTGTTCCTGAATCTGTTCTAGTAGGATATAATCCTGGAACATCCCCAGTGTGTGCAGAGCTATGTAGTATTAAACAAGCTGCCATCTCCACCCTGGCTAATACTCCTGTCAGGGCTTCTTTGGGAGGATGGGTCTATGGATAGGCAGGAGAGCTTCCCTGAGCAGTTAAGGATGACCAGCTCTCATGCTGGTGCTGGGCCAAGAGAGCCCTGCTGCTGTCATCTTAGCCACGTGCAGTTGCTTGGGCCAGGGGTATGTGTCCTGTGCTCACTATGTTTGCATTCCGGACATGACAAACACTGGGAGGTGTTTTCTTCTCCCTTCTCTCTGCAGGCAATCCGTTGTTTTTTGTGATCAGAACTTACACTCCTTGCTCAGTGGGTCAGTTGAGTTAAGTAACTTACATGGGATAAGTGGGGAAAAAGGAAAGCATGCCATTTTCAGCCCAGGCAAAGGCAAGGGGTGAAGCACAGGAGCACTGGGAAAGCAGGAGAGCACACCGTGCATGGAATCAGTCTGTTCTGACAGACCCTCCCAGTCTCTGCTTGGGGTCTCCTGTGATGTCCCCCCATGGCAATCCCTTAGGTGGAGAAATGTGGTTAGCTGTGAAGAAGCCATCTGAGCAGCTCAGGAGCAGCAGGAACATTTGAGTCTCTGTTTTCGTTACGAAGACAAGCCACAAACAGCTGTTGTGGTATGGTGGTGATTTGTTCCGCCCAACTGCCAGTAAAGGTTTGGACTAAACTGTTGGCCTTCTTCCTTCTCTCCAGCAGTCACTCTGTTGTTACACCTACAGGAGATCCCCTGAGGCAGTCAGGCAGGAAAGTGCCGAGTTTGAAATCCACAATTTGAAATCCAGCAGTTGAAACAGCGTCAGCACTGGTGGAGCAGCAGCACAGACCAAAAGGCAGCATTGCAGCTGTGTGCTTCAGCCTTCAGTATCCCTTGAGCATTTCCAAGTCCCAAAATTCAGTTCTGAAATGTATATTGGCCACCTGAGGGATCTGCGGCTTGGTTGGTTCGCTTAGGTGTTATGGGCTGTATAGAAAAATTAATGTGTTAGCAAATGAGAGAAAACTGGTGCAAATGATGCTGTGTCATAGAATCTCAAAAGGGTTTGGGTTAGAAGGGACCTCAGAGCCTACCCAGCCTCAACCCCAGCCCTGGGCAGGGCTGCCCCCCACTAGCTCAGGCTGCCCAGGGCACCATCCAACCTGGTCTTCAGAGCCTCCAGCGATGGGGAGGATGCATTAGGCATTCAGGCTTTGAACAGGGCAGATAGGCTTGAAATCCACAAGATGGCACTTCTGGGTGCTATTTGTCCACTACATTTGAGATGTCAGTGAGGCAGCTTGGTGTGCACACGTGCCTTTGAAAGCAGCCAGTGCTTCATTTTTGATTGGGCAGCTGCTGAGATCGGCTATGCACAGTGAAAGCACAGCCTCCCCTCTCTGCAAGTATAGCACCTGCCTGGGCCCATCAAACCCCTGTCCTTCAGCAGCACCCTGCATGGATGTTGTTCCTGTCATTCAGATCCAAAAAGGCACGCATTGGTCATTGCTGAACCCCGTGGCGCAGATATTCTGCCAGGCACTGAGCTGCAGATGAGACTGTTGGAGAAGTGCATGGTGGACGTGCTGAATAGAAACAGATGAGCTAATTCTTTTTAAATTTCCATTTCTTCAAGATGCTTCTAAAGGCACAATCCAGGACAGAAGTGTGACGCTTGTCGGTGCTGGACACAGCCTGCTTCAGAACAGGCATTATCGGCCTTCAGTCAAGATGGTGGCGTTTAACTTGAAGGTGAGGATGTTTCATGGTCATATGAGAGTGAACTTCTGGTCTTTGAAGGAGATGGGTTTAAGATGTGGTAGGGTGAATCTTGTGTTAAAGTTGCTTCCCTTGTCTAGGTGATGGCTTCACTACCCCACTGTACCTCAGGCCCAGAGGGCTTGCAGATGGAGGCCTTGTACATTGAACCTCTCCTCTGGCTTTCCTCTTTGTAGGCTTTTCTCAGACTATTCTCTCCTCAGCACCTTTCCTTACCAAAGTGTGGTTTCTCTGCTTTATCTTTTAGGGCGTGAAGGCCATAAGCATGAGTGTACATATGTAAGGCTCAGAAATGTTGGAGCCTTGTTCACTACCAGTTATAACTTGTTCAGTTAGTCTGTTTATCATAAAAGTAGTGCTAACCACAGACCTTGGCTTTGCCTTTCCGCAGAGCAGAGCTGTGGTTTAAAGATATTGCCAGTAAAAATGATGTTTTCTGCAGAATTGGTTTGAAGTGACCAGATGTCAAAGGTAACATGCAGCTTGCATAGAGGAATGCTATAAGAGCCCACTTGAGGTCTCATTTGCAGACTTTAAGGGGGCATGCTAATGGAGTATGGATGTAAGGCTTTTTTAAACACAGTATTTAAACAATGGGCAAACAACTTTATGAGGTGCTGGAAGGCCTTCTGAGGTTACAGAGGGCTACTGGGATACTTGCTATGGGAGGACTTAAGCTGTGAACCTACTGTGCATCACTGAAAGGCCAGAATGATCCTGCTGGCCAAGTGGCTCTTTGAAACAGGGTACTGGGAAGCTTGTGTACCTTCAGTATCCTTCTGAAATTGCCATCTCTCACTGAGTGCCTCTGCAGCTTTCATTGTATTTTAGTTCACAGTGTTACCCGTTTGCATTTTATTTTCTGCTCCATACGCACTTAGAGTAGTGTGCTTTTGTAACACTGAAATGTGTTGTGCAATTTTATTGGCTTCAGACATTAAAAACTGCTGAAACTGAATCATTGTAGGCTACATCCTTTTTATATCTTTTGTAGTTCAAAGACAGTCATCTATACTTAATAGTACAGACCTGGGCAAATTGCAGAACTGTCTTGGATTAAAATTTCTAGGTGGACAAAAGTGTATTCAGGCACTGTATCTGATAGCTGATATATGCATGCTTCCATCACTCCTATCAAAATTGTTCAGATGCATTTCACCTTTTATAAGCATCTTAAGATACTCAATTATTTCCCTTTTTCAACTTCAGGTTGTGCCAATATTACATTCACAGTAAAGATGACAAAAACAAGAAAGACCTGTACGAGGGAGTTTCAAATACAAACTTGAGTACAGTGAATTGCATTTTGGCCTTTTCCCTGGACAATCTGCCTAGTTTAAAATCCCCTGCAGAAAAAAAGTATGAACAGAAGAGCATTACCATTGCTTTGAATAATGCCATTGTTGGAAGAAGCTGTATAGCATCCCTGTAGATTAATTTTTAATTGTCCAAGCGTTCCAGTAACCGCTTAAATATATTGTTTTTTATTATAGGCTTTGGAGAATTTCCCATTGCTGATGTACATCTTGGCAGCTAAAACACTGATTCTTTGCTTAGCATTTGCTGGAGTTAAAATGTACCAGAGTAAAAAACTTGAAGAAAAATTGAAGAGGGAACGTGAAGCGAAATTGAAGAGAGAAGCAGAGAAGAAGGGTGATTAAAGGAATCTCTCAGGTATATAATTGATTTGACATTCTGGTATTTCATAGTGGCATTGCCATATTAATCCCATTATGTTTTGGCTTCAGTACATTTGGGTTGTGTGGTTAGAAGTGTCACCATTATCTGAGTTATTCAGTATGTGTCTCCTGTGATGCTTCACTGTATTTGCATACCCATACCATGCCCATTCATTTGTAAGAAATGAAGTTAGTACCAGACAACTTGTCAGCCACTGTTTGGGGTTTCAGAGATCTTAGCACAATATTCTTTTTCTGTTCTTAATTTCCTTTAATTTTGTATGCCCAACCAGTTGCACAGAAAGTCCTGATACATAAAGAAATCATTAAAGTTGGGCAAAAACTGTGTGAGAGGCATGCCAGGCAAGATGATGTAATAAGGTTCCTTGGCCATAAGTCACATTGAAAAGAATCTCCAATTCCATGTTAGTTAAATACATGACAAGTTGCTGATAGTTTAGCTTGAAGGGCCAAACCTCATGCTGTGAAGCTTCCCAAGGTAATAAAACTGCTTCAGGTTATACATCCATCATATATACTTCACTGAAAAAAAAGTAGATATCTACATTTAAAAAGCAAAAAAAGCAAAATGAACACTGAAAATATAGTAAAGTTTTAGTTTTTCATTTGCCATGTGCTAAATTCCTTCCCAGTATCTTCAAAGTTTAAGCAATCATTGGATCAAGTCTGTTAGCAAAATGAGTGTGGTCTAGTGCTAAGATTATACTCCCGGAGTTTTTGGTGTGTGATTTATGTATCAATTCATTTCACATTTCTCTGTTCTGCAGCAAAATGGGAATTCTATTCCTGCCTGCCCTTTGTAAACTCAGTGGGAGTTCGCTATAACAATGTTGCACTTTATTAAACTAGAAAACTAACTTTCTCCTTTTGAGGTCATCACCTCCCATATGAAGATGGTTTCAGTTTTTAGAAATGTTTACTAGTTTTGATTTCAAACCTATCACTTTTGTTTCTTGCAACGGAGATTGGAAATTGTGACTAGAAATGGGGCCAGAAAATAACCATGGGAACAGAGTGTTTCATTCGCACAGGGAAAACAAGAAATACAGAGGTGTTTTTCAGGCTCCTGTTTACATCATGTTGAGTATTTGTGCCTGTGCAGACTTGTGCCATTTTAAACTTTTATTTTAAATTGGTCCAGGTAGCCACTGGAACATGCTGTGAGAAGACTTCTTTCAGTTTATGCTGAATAGGTCAGAGTAAGTTATATAGTTTTAGTGCTAAACAAATGAGAGGTGGGCACAAGGGCAAGCTGCCCTGCAAGTGAGCAAGGCTGCTACTTTTAATGAGCAGACTTTACTGTGCTCTGTGTTAGGCCCCAGGGAGTTCTGCCTGGCAAAGGCTGTAGCCTGGAGGATTGCTGCACCAGGGTAAGGAGCTCATCCCACAAGACCTCGTGGTCTGGCATGTGAGATTGACCTTGTTGAATGACTGACATTAAAGCAAATCTGACTGAAGTCCTCTTAGTCACCCAGTGTGGCCCACCAGAGGCCAAGTCTTTCCTAAATTCTGCCATTTCTCGGACTGTCAGCACATCTTTCTATAATGGGATTGCAAGAAGGGGTGACTTCTCCTGCCCTAAAAATGTTCTCCCGTGTCAGCACTGCAGAGCTGTGATTAGCTCCGATTGCAGCCTGCCACGCGGGCAGGCAGATTTAGTCCATGTGCTGCTAGCATATCATGCCTGCTGTTCTCACTGCTGTTTCCCCACCCTGCAGATTCTGTGACACTTGGCAGCTTGCTTGGATTCCTTTCCTGGGAGAACGAAGTCTTCCTGTAGATGAAGGATGTGTAGAAGGAATAAAGCCCTCTGGAGTAACATTCACTTAAATTGTATCTCAACTTTTTGTATGTACAGCAAAATATCTAAGCTTCTATTTATGCAATAAAGAAAACATTTGTAAAAAAAAAAAAAAAAAAAAAAAAAAAAAAAAAAGACCTTGGTTACTGCTTACTTAAATGCTACAGTTAGAGCTGCAGAGGAGGCACTTTTTAAAGATTAGCTGCAAGGAGGAGGCTGATTTTTAAAAAGAAAACACTGAATCCATCATGATGGGTGTATGCAGGGTTCATGGACAGACAGAAGGAATTGGGGAGGTCCCTGTGCAGGTTTTTCAAGCAACTGCAGGGGTACAGACATGAAGCTTATGGGCTCTCTGTTGAATTCAAATGAAAAAAGCAAAGATACGAACTTCTCAGGGTGGTCTTTTTCAAACCCCTTTCCATACCCAGCACTGACTTCAGTGTAAAGCAAATCATAGCATTGGTATGAAAATCTTTGTGGAAGTTTAATATGAGGAGGTTTCTTGTATTTTGCTTTGTTGCTAGAGACCATTACTTAGCCACTCCTGCATGTTCAATAACTTGAAGTCTTGAAGAGTAAGCACTCTCAGTCATGGTAGGTTAATCAACAGAATAGGTGGTTTGCACATAAACAAACCTTAGGAATGTGCAGCAGTGGTAACAGGTATGTTTACCTTCACATTTCCTTTATAAAGCACTTCTAGATCCTTGTGTTTTCTGGAAGTGAAGGTGAATGTGAAATCTGAGTGGAGTGGAAAGAAGACAGGAGAAAACTTGGAGAAGACTTGGGAGCCCAGAGGTTGTGGGAGGCCCCTGGGTTGGCTCGCTCCTGCCCTCTCCCTGTGGCTACAGGCTGAGGTGGCTACAGGCTGTGGTCATGTAAGCGTGTACTGCTGCAGTGCGTGTGTCACAAGCATTATCTGGCAATGCGTGCAGCTGATACAGCTAATGCTCAGAGAGCTTTTAGTGCAGTGGAGTTACTCACCATGAACTGTGGTGATCTGTAAAATCTCACTGTCCATGCAATTGCCTTGGTGACCAGAGAATGTAAGTATTACAGAAGCCTGTTGCTGGAAGAGAATGGTATTTTTCCTATGGCAGGCTTCAGGACTATGTATCTGACTGGAGAATTCTTACTGTCGTTGCAAATCTGCAGTTTTCCCTCTACTGTCTCAGCAGTCATCTGTGTATGCAAACATGGAATTGAATAGTAATTTAATTAAATGGCTTTGTGGTGTTCAGTGAGAGCAGACTCTCTCCTAACCACTTCCATTAAACAGCTATTGAGGAAAACACACCAAGAAGTTTAGCTTAGCCACATACCCAGACTGTACGAGGAAATTGTCAGGGCTGCACGGTGTCTACCAGCATGAGAAGTAAGTAATGTGTTGACTCTGTGCAGTCTGGGATTGCCTTGAAGTATTGGCCTCACTTTTGATTTTTTTAGAGTCTCAGCCAATAGTAGATTTCTCTAGACCAATAGTTAGAGTGTGTTATTAGTTGGAAGTGACGGATTCTCCCTTTCAGTACAGCTACTCTGTAAGCAGAATCAAAAGGACACGATCTCCCATTAAAGCAAGTCATACTGCGTCAAAGCAATTGAGCTTCATTTATCATCCAAAGAAATGAAGACTGGTGTTAAAGCCTGAGGGGGACATAGTTTGCTAAATGTGTGCAAGAAAGCAATTAATATGAGTAGTCCTTTTTTGTTGCTGAATTGAACATGGGCAAAAAGCAGCTGTGAGTCTCCTCAGAAGTCCTCTACATCACCAGCTCTTTGCATCTACAGATAGCTCAGAAAAACTCTTTGTATATTTACTTCAAATTTGGTCCAATCTGGCTGTTTTTTTCCCCTTAGCTCTGGAGTAGCGCTATGACATAGAAAACCCTTGGGGGTTGTAATGGGTCTCACAGCAGGCTGATATTCTGGAGGTTCCAAAATATGATACCAAACCTGTTCCCAAATCTGAACCAATTTCTCTTCTTCAGTATATCAGGGTGGATGTTTGATCTATGCTTTGAAGGCCATCTAGGAAGGAGAACACACCTGTATTTTCCTTCACTGGGTAAGTTGCAGGCAGGTCTCTTTACCCTTGGGCATTTTATGTGCCACAGTAGCAGCCTTGAAGACGAAAATATGCTGACACTGGGGGGAGACAGCAGCTCAAATTTGTTTCACTTTTCTTTTCAGAAGAGAGCTGAGGACCTCGAAACCTGTTTCTTTTTTTACTGAAGGAAGAGTTATGTGACTAGTCCAGACCAATTTAAAAGAGGAATAGAGAATTTGATTCTATTGAGTTTCTGCAACTGAGAGGAAGCAGCAAGAAGAGCCTTGAAGTGCACAGCAGGGAATAAACAGGGTTCCCTTGTTCCTAATCCAGAAAGCAAGCCAGGTCACATTCTTTTTGTGCCTACAGAACTACAAATTCACTGCTTCTTTGCCTGTTCCACTAAATTATGCCCTTTTAAAAGGGCACTCATGTTGTACAGACTGGCAACTTAACCTTAGCCAGCACCTCATTTGCACAGGCCTTTGACTGTTGGATGTTGTCACTGTCACTACTGCCAAGTGTTGAAGATGGCTGAGAAATGGTTTAAACTTCTAGCGTTTGCACCTTTAGGTTTTCTTCTGACATGAAGGCCGTGTGTTTTTAAACAAAAGATGAAATCTTTGCATAGTAATAAAGAAATTTTCAGAATTTTAAGGAAACCTTAAACATGGAACAGATTTCTAGAGGACATAAGTGGCTGCTAGAATAGGGCTCTTCCAGCTTAAGGGAGCAGGGTGGCTGCGGGATGGCTGTAGTCCTTGAAGTAAGGTGAACAAGTATTCAATGGGACTGTTTTCTTATTACCTATGTTAGATATTCTTTAAAAGTAAGTCAGCTTGATTTTAGTGCCACTTAACACTTTCAGTCTGAAGGCCATGAGTCTTTCACCCAAAATGCAACATCAGTGGTGCTGGGGGAGACAGAGCTTTCTCAAGCAGTGCCCAGGAGCAGGAAAGGTTGCTGTCCTGCTTGCTGTCTAAAAGCAAGGCAAGACTAGGGTTATTTCCTCAGTGTCATGTGGAGTTCCTTGTTTCTGTGCTAGGTCTAGAGGGTACAGCTCATGCACAGTGGCAGAACCTACCATACTGATAAAGCCATATAATGCCTACTTAAAATTTGGCATGCCAACTAAAAAAACTGCACTGATCTCAAGCGATTTTGCTGCAAGTCAGTGAGCTAAATAATTTTCAGGTGTCAGAGTACCAGCTCCAAGAACCTTTTGCTGTATTTCCTTCCTCAGTTTTCCTCTCGGGGATCAGCTATTCCAGCTGTTTTGTATTGCCTTTCTTACTGAAGGCACCGTGAATTCTCTATCTGGCTTTGAATCCTTTGCAGTTTTCCTTGGATCCCAACTCTTATTTGTGACACACAGACAGTGTCTCTACTAATCTGCTGACTCTCAACCTACCCTGTCCAAAGAGGAGCATTGCTACCCATTCACATCACCCTTTCTAGCTCAAACATGGAAGAAATCTGTAGATTAGGCAGACTGATGCCTCTCTAATTTCACAGAATCCTAGAAAATCTTGGGTTGGAAAGTGACCTTAATCTAGTTCCCCTCCTTGCCACCAGATCAGGCTGCCCATAGGCCCCATCCAACCTGGCCCTGAATGCCTCTGAAGATGGGGATTCAGCCTTCACCAGGCCCAGTTTCATCACATGACACATCTGTCATCTACTTGTTGCATCCTCTCCCTACTTATTAACTGCTTACAACCCTCCATCTTCAAGTTTAGGGAGAAGATGATAGAACTCACATAAAGAACCTGATTGCCCTGTGGTAGCACGGTGTCTGTCACACTCCTGATCACATGGAAAATAAACCAGGCAGTGTGGCCACGTGAGTGTAAACTCTGCTGCATTCGTGTATGCAGACAGTTCAGATAAAATTTCTGGAACCTGTGTTTACATCCGTCTCAGAAAGGTGCCAGAAACCATTTTCAGATGGGACAGCTATAAGCTGCCACCTGGTTTGGGGACTCAGTGGTGGCTGCATGCTTTGTAACGGTGCACATCATTCCACAGCTTGGCTTTAACTATTCAAGCTGATTCATCTTGGCTACCAAAGCAGGCTCAGTGTACCATCTAGGCTCATCTGGACCTTGACTGGCATATGTGTGTATCAAACTTCTATCATGGGTATAATCAGAGTACCAGCTGCTCCTTTTCCATGTTGTGATAGGGATACCTGATAGCGGCCAGAATAGTTATCCCCATAGTAATGGATTCCTCATATGTTCCTGTAGAGAAAAGAATTGTTTGGGCATAAATAAGTGATTAAGCATGTATTCATGTGCATCTCCATATGGCATCAATTTCTCCCTCTTTGAGTCTGATAAAAGAGCTATTGAAAATGTCTGTGTGTAATATCATCAAAGGCTGTGCCTCTCTTTGAGATTAGTTCCAATCTGACCAAAGACTTTTGAGATGGCTGTCATAGAGCAAAGAATGTACATGGTTGCTTCCTTTTAGTCACTGCAGACACAATATAGATGACTGTCTTTTTTTTACTAATCTTTTTTGTTTTGGCAGGTTTGTTCTGTTTGTATGGCATTTTCCAAGGTCCGTGACTCTTTTGATTTACTATGAGTCATATTCCTCTGGCCTTATCACTGATTAGCAGAAGTTTAGTGCTACCCAACTAGAAATGTCAGGCACTGTCAGTTAAGAGGTGTTTAAGTCATATAAATAAGCTTTGTGTGTATTTGTCTTCTAAAGCAGTTTTTTTTTTCCTTGGTTTTTCTTACATGGAATGTTGTCGCTGCATTCTTCCTCCTTTCTTTGTGTCCCACCATTATTACATCCTCCACATGGGCCTCCTCAGACTCTTGGCCTAAAAGCATCTGCCCTGTCTGCATTCTGGGTTGCAGCATGCTACTAGTACAGTGGACTTATAAAACTGCGTTAAGCTAATCCTTGCAGGCCTGCTTCATAGACTAGAAGAAAATAGATGTTTTTTTTCCATGAAGATGAGTCTTGGAAAAGCATTTAGAAGTAATTAGTCAATGAGACATCATGAAAATGCAGGTGATTTGCATTCCGGCTAGCTTAGAGCAGAGGGACATCTGTTATAGCTTCCTCATCAACACATGCATTTGCATCTGCCTCTCCTCTTTATGCAAAGATACTTTAATCATTTTATTCTAGTGGTGCATTTCAATCAGAGTCAGGAGAGGGAACGAAGACTTTTGTTTTGACATACTGAAACGGTCAAACAAACTGGGCCTCACCACAACAGCTACTGCTAAAAAACCTAATAAAATAATAGCGATTAAAATACTACTGAGATGTTGTGCTCATGTGTACTATTCCAAATGCTTTTGAACACGGTGCATGCTATTTGCTAACATCCTCCTATTAGACTGTTTAGTCATATGTTTTTACTTGTCATCCTAAATTATCAGTTGAGTCAGAACTGCATGAGCCACCATAGTTTTCTTCAGTACAAAGCGCTGTGAAGTCTTTTAGAAAACATGGGTTGTAATTACCCTTCTGCAGCAGCAGAGGGGGAGGGAGGAAGAAAGGACTCATCTCAGAGGATTTTATACAAAATACCAAAGTTCATTTAGTTTCAAACTTAGTTCTTTTCCTGCCCACAGGTTTCCATTCCCGTTAAATATGACTGAGTTTAAAAGTTTCACCAGCTCTCAGCCTCCCAGGCGAAGGCAGGGAAGAGTGGATGTAGCTTGGGAAGCCTTTCCAGCCCTTACCAGCAGGGAAAGGATTTTTTTCCATTTTTCTCCAGAAGGTAGGCCACCAAACACCTCTTTCCTCATGCTAGTTTCCATTTTACCAGTGCTAAAGTAGGAAAAACAGATACATTTCTATGACAGACATCACTTTCTCACCAAACTTCCTTGTTGCTGAAATGGATGGAAAGCGGGTGATTCTGCACATGGTCCCATGGTCTCCACTGCAAACTACAGATGACAGAAGGCACACCCTAGCAGCAAATAAGTTTTGCAATGTGGCTCTCTTGCTTAAGATGGTGGAAGCAGAGAGCCATAAGGCTGAGCGGTGGTGAGGTGGCACTCTGGGACTTGGCTCTGTTTGTTTTTGGTCTCACTCTTTTTCATGCAGATCCAGAATGGAACAATGAAGTAATCAGGTTTTTGCTGATTTGATGATAGGTGGCATTAGCACACTCTCCTCCACAGCTTCATGTCAATATTATAGTGCGGGGTCATCAGGTGAAGGTAAATAGAGCCCTTGCAATAATGAGTTGTGCATCATTTGTTTGTTAAGAAAACCAAGCTAGTGTGCAATTGCTGTTCATCCTTGTGGTAAAGAGGGATTGGATCTATTTCTTTTCTCATGATGATTTCACACCACTTTGTGCTCATTGATCTTCAGAGGCACAGTTCCTGCTTCAAGCCAGTATGAAATTATGTTCAGGGCCATGATACCAGCACAATAAAAACATTCCTGCCCCTCCCTAATCTTTTCCCCTTTTCCCAGCTACTCTTTCATCTCTGCATTTGAAGCACTTAATTTTCCATTCCCTGCAACTTCCATATTTATAAAAATGAGCAGATGTTTTTCCTGATGAACACGAAGTTGAGAAAATACAGTTATTTTCTTTTGTATCTCAGCTTTAGGGAATTATATGCATAGATACTTCTGAAGGTAGATGAGATCCCTCTTTTGAGATATCTCTCTGCCACACCAAATTACAGTGCTAAAAAATTACAATTTAGATGGTTTCCACACACAGAGAAAAACAGCACAGATTTCCCTCAGTGTACTGAAACGTTTTGGTGAACCTGTGAATCATCTTATAACATTTTTCTCATGTTCTCATGATTTTCACTTTCTGTCGTTAAAATACAAAATACAAACACACAAAGTAATGGGCTACATGGAGAAAGTAAATTGGGAGGTGCTTTACAGAAACAAGAAAGTGCTCCATGACCTTGAAAAGCAACACATTTAAAACATGACTGCGTCATTCATAAATAAACTTTTGAACTTGACTCTGAAAGAAATCTTTACATCTCAGTGCCCATCAGGATTCAAACAAGAGTGAATCGATGTCAGGAGTAAAGAAAATCTCCAGTGATGAGTGCTGTGTTTTATTCTGAAACTCTTCATACTTTAAAGCCTGAACCAACTACTGAGGTAATTCCCTTTTAAAAAAGATTAGATGTCACTGGAACGTTTATTGCAGAATGTTGTTAGAAGCAAGGCACCAGACATAATGAATTAATGAGCTGATAACAGGTGAATGTCTGTATTATGGGAAAGTCTCATAAACCTTCCATTATCTGTGGTCTCTGCCTCAGTCGCAGTTCAGCATATACTGCTCAGGAGCAACACTTCCATGTGTGTCAAAGATGAATCTGACACGCAGAATTAATTTTGCAGTATAAACTTTCTCAGAATGGAGGAGATTCACATCTGTGGCACGGTCTTATGATTCCTATGACAGAGGACTGGGCCTTACGCATGCTTTTGTCCATTTTCTTGGAGGAAAAGGATCTAGAAGTGTTGATACCTGTCTGAATATGAGCAAGCAGACTGGCCAAGAAAACTGGTGGCATCCTGGCTTCTATCAGAAATAATTCAGTCAGCAAGAGCAGGGAGGTGATGGGAAGTGGCTGAGGGAATTGGGTTGTTCAGTCTGGAGGAGAGAAGACTCAGAGGAAACCTAATATCTCCTTACAATCACCTGAAAAGAGACAGTGTTGAGGCAGGTGTTGGCCTCTTCTCCCAGGTAACAGCAACAGGATGAGAGGGAATGGCCTCAAGTTGCACTAAGGGAAGTTCATGTTGGAACAATTTCTTCTCAGAAGGAGTGGTGAGGCACTGGACCATCACTGTCTTGGAAGTGTTCAAGAACCATGTGGATGCGGCACTAAGGGACATGGTCAGTGGGCATGGTGGGGATAGGTTGGTAGTCGGAGTATGAGATCTCAGAGGTCTTCTCCAACCTTAATGGTTCTATGATTCTGTGATTTTTTTTTTGCAGTAAAAGAAATTAACTGTCACTTCCTGGTGCAAGTATAGCACATATCAGCCTAGTCTTGGAAAACATCTGGAATGTGATATTCAGATTTAAAATGATCTCTTTTATTAGTACAATTGACATTGCTTTTGAAGTTTATATCCTTTGAACAAAAGGGATCACCAGAGCAGAAACCTGTATCAAAGCACATCTGAGGCCTGAAAATAGGAAGAACCATTTAAGAAAATGAGTCGAGGTAGTAGTTTTCCCATTTCTTCACTTTGTTAATCGCTATTTTCCATTTGTTCGGGGTCATGTTCTCTATTCCTTTAATAATCAGATCACTGAAGAGGATGCATCTGTAGGAATGGGTATTCTCAACAGACCTCAGGGCAAAGTCCTTCCTGTTGTTTATAATAAACCATTTCAGAGAAGACCAGGCAACATCCATTGGATAGAGGTAGGTGTAAGATGCAGGCACAGCAAGAAGTTCATGGCCATTCGCTCTAGCCGTCTCAGGGCAACACTTGATGCTGGACATGTAGATTAATGGGGGGACTGAAGGCAACAATCCCATCTCCTGCTCCTTGCTGTTTTTCGCCCCTACACCTGTCAGCTGCCTTTTATCTCTTGTCACAATTATGCATTTCCCATAGGACATGGTCAGAGAATCACACAACTCCTGGAAGGCACCATTCTGTTTCTGAGTGGGCTGCAGTTCATTTCTTAACAGCAGTTTGTACCTCCATGGCACCCACCCTCGGCTGCTGCCAGCATGAACAAGTGTCCATACTGGCCAATGTAGGCTGGCCTCCTCAGCTATTTTTTCTCCTGTTATAAGACTTTCTGGAATATCTGTTTCCCCTAAGAAGATAGTGTTGAAACCATTACGCTGCAGTGCCCTCAGAGTTCTTAAATACTGCAAGCACTGTGTCTTTGAAGCATCATCAAAGCATCCCCTAGGAATTATGTGCCTGAGAAGCGGGTTTGCAAAGCGCTGCATGTTGGCTTCTAAAGGGATACAGGAGTTGGAAGCTGCTGAGCTCACATTGTGTGTGGTTGCCCTAGTGGTGCCTGTGATGTCACACCTACCTGGAAGCAACTGTGGGGCTTCCAGGTGGCTGACCATAAGGCCACTGTCTTGTAGGTGACAGGCAGAAGTGTGCCTGGAGCTCAACACCGCAGCTGCCCATGGGAGGTTCACCATGGTCAACCTGCACATCTTCAGGCTTTGAAGGGGGAAGAAATTACCGATGCCTCAGACACCACTTCAGGGTGATGTATTTTTAGAACTAATCTGGTTTTTAGAGTCTTTCCACCTTCTCATTTGGTGCACAAAGGTGGGGAGTGAGCAAATGGCAAGTGGTGTTCAGCTGCCTGCTGGGTTCAACCACAACAAAGATGAATGGTTTACCCCCAGAAAGAAGCATGTATGATTCAACTGTTAATCAGATGCAGAATGATGGCAATGCCAGACTGCAAACATATGAAAAACCCACTAGAATCTACAATTCATATTCACATGAGAATACACTACAAAATAATATTGATTTATCTTTATTAGTATTTCACACCATGATACAATTTTCTCCTAATGAATCAGGAGTGTATGCCCCATCCCTGGAGAAGTTCAAGGCCAGGTTGGATGGAGCCCTGAGCAACCTGGTCTAGTATAAAATGGAGAGGTTGGTGGCCCTGCCTGTGGCAGTGGAGTTGGAGATTCATGATCCTTGAGGTCCCTTCCAACACTGGCCATGCTGTGATTCTGTGATTCTGTGACACGAGTAGTTCCTACTGGAATTATTGGTTCCTTGTACCATTCTGTAATTTTCTTTTGTGCCTATGACCAGCAATCCATCCATGACACCCACTGGAACTGCAGATCATATCTCTTGTTGCCTAAATAGGTCCTTAACGGAAGGTTCCTTCTGTCTTCTCCAGAAAGGATTTACTGAATTGTGAATGAGTTGGAGACTGCCATCCTTGAGATAGACTCATAAAAAGAGTGTTTCCCTTTTGTTTCTCTTGCTTTTTAATTACCTTCTGATTGTCAGTAGATATCAGTAGAAAACAGGGCAGGGGAGTAATGGTGGTAGCATCTGAATAGAATCCCCAGGGGTCAGAGTGAGGTAATCCTCCTCTCCACTCTCACCTCTCACCAAGCTTGTCCATTAGACCTCCAGGCCACACCAGGCTCTTCCACACTGCCCACCTTATCCCTCTGAGGCCCATCCCAACTCCAGTCAAGGGCAAGAAGCACTAGTCTACTGCTGTCCCCAGTGGGCTCCCCAGGGAATGCAAACTGTGGTGCCCAATTGATTTGCATTCTCTGGGGCTGGTCAGTGATGCAAAGCAATGAAAGCTGCAGCCATCAGGAGGCTTGTTTAAAAAGCACGGTCCTCCTCTCAACTGGACCATACATGTAGGTATAACTGCAGCTTGCCTGGGAAAACTGGGTTTGATCTTCCTCAGATTAGGCTCCCCACAGTAAACAGTCCTGAAAGTGTTCCTCCAGCTCTCCAGACTCTTGTATTTTTGCACTATCAGGTCAAAAGCGAAGGGACAAAGGTTATTTTTGTTTTCATGTGACAATGAAAGGACTTAGCAGGATGGATGAAGGAGCCACATATCAGCCTTTCTGCTTAGGAGGATGGGCAAGGTCCATGCCTTTGCCTTTTGTTGCTGCCCCAGAAGGATACTGTGTCCCTCCCAGCCTGTCAGGTGGCACCATCGTGCCTGTGACTCTGTTGAGCCCTGTTTCCATCAGCCCTCACAAACTGGTCTGTGCCTTAGTGGTTAAGAAGATACTAATGATAGTGCTAGCTGCTGACATTTAGTGAGACAGGAGTGATGAACTGCTTTCAGCTCCTGATCAGAAGAATTGAGAACTGGGTTCCACTCTGTTCCTGTCATGTACATAGCAGAAACCCACCTGCTAACCTGCTTTAAAAAACAATTATTCATAGTCCCAGCATCTCAATATTATTAAAAACACTTGGAGAGCAGGCAGAAGGCAGTATTCTAAGACACAAACCCACATCTCCGTGGGCTCAGTGCCACACGGAGTGTTTCACCAGGTGTCCAGCCGCAGCGGCCTCCTGCTCCCCATGAAAAGAAGGTGGAGGCCTCACCTTTCTTCATGCTATTTCTGCGTGCTGTACCGAGCTCAATTGTTTCCCTTAACAAAATGACAAATTTACCAATTACCCACAAACAAAGTCCCCATTAACGAAGCAATTAGGTTACCAATTATCGGTTACATGCCAATTACCCATTTCAGTAGTAATTATGTCATTAGGTCACCGGTCACCACATTTACACAAGTTAAAAATCATCACAAATCTTTTATTTTAAAGTCCAGAATAAAAACGTAATGAAATATGGAACACAATGAAATACAAACAAACAGCAGTGGGTATGATGTTAGGCAACCAGTGGGCGTTTCTGCTGCTATTTTATATTAGAAGTACCAGCTGAAATCAAGTTGCTGAATTTGAGATTTAGTGTTTTATTTTTATCTAAATAAAGTGTCATGTAAGATTGATTTGCTTTTTTTTTTCTAACTAATACTTGGGAATATTATTCCGCACAAAATCTGTGTTGTGTTTTTTTTCCAGTATTTTTTTTTTCTAGAAAATGCTATTCCCAATTTCAATAACCTATTTTCACTCCTGACTATTTGATGACATACTGAGCACCAGCTAAAGTCTCACACCAAAGCAATGCTTCTGATATCAAAAGAGAATTTCCAGAAGTATGTAATTTTAACTCTAGATCCATGATGGAACCAATAAGAGAAGCACTTGCCAAAATCAGTGATGGTCTAAGGATGGAAACACAGAGAAGGGTGGAAACTTTGGAAAATAAATTGAGCCAGTATCTCAAGTAACAGTGCCAAATTTCTCAGACCAGAATAGCACAACAGCTGAAGGATTCCCACAAAGATCTGTGAGGCACCTTGTGAAAAATGATGAAATTTGTTTTCCTGCATTAGGGATCCTCCACAGAGGTTGAGCTTAGCATTTCTCCATTGGTGGCATCAAGACACAGCTCCCTCTATTGCTTGGAAAGTGTAGGAATGGAGCATCTTCAGGAGCTGAAGCTTTTTAGCAGATGTGGTTGAAATAGCACGTACACGTTTGCATGTCCCTGAAATAGGGAAGGGAAAAGGGAAGGAAAGCTTCCTTCACAGAGCACAGAATGGGAGGATCACACCTGGAATTTCACCCCAGTATGGAGCTAGCATAGAGCTGAGGAGTGTGCCTCAATTTGGGAAGGAGACAGAGACATGGGACGTTATCGATGCTCAGTCTGATTCAAGTGCTGAGTACACAGTGCAGAGACCCTGTTGCATGGTGAGTACAGGCTGGGAAAGGGCCCACCTCTCCTGCATGCCCAGACTGCAAGAGCAGATTATTGATGTGAGCAGGAACAGGCTCTTTCAAGGGGAGAACCAAGGGGATATCAACCAACACATCAGCCATACATTAGCAATAGATCAGTTTTCAGAAGGTGAATTTCAGAGAGATAAATAGCACGCTGGAGTTCACCCTGTGTTCTGGTGTTTCCCTTGCATCAGCCTGTCATGAAAAGCAGAGACCACTGCTGAAGGAGGTGAAATTTCTCTGCACAGAACTCTATGTAGTGATGGATGTCTGAAGCTCGTATCAAACACTCATGGAAAAAGGGATTTGATTCTGCTAGCTAACACAGTTGCATGACTGGAAAATAGATAAATCGAGTCTACAAAGGAGGAGAAATTGTCACTGCAGCAGCCAGCTATTTGTCTTACTTCAAAATGGACTGCAGTATTTGCCTTCTTGTGAAAAACACCATACAAGGAACAAATCTGGAACTGCGTTTCTTCCACCTTCAAAACACCTCTAATTTTTAAGATCTGAATAGCTGAGCTGTGGTAACGGGAGCATGGCTACCAAGTGCAGACAGGAACAGTGTGCATAAACAGCAGATTATGGTTCAAAGCATGAAGTTATTAAACCAGACGCCATGATGAAGCCAAAGGTAGTAGAGTCCAAAACTGACAGAACTGCCTAATTGGTTTCCACTAGAGACAGTGTGTGGGGACTGTGCACCTGTCCAAAAAAGGAGATGCCTGCATTGGAAAGCTGAATCTCTGAAATTCAAGCAAGAAGTGTGGAAAGCCAAGAGAGTGGTATGGATTTCATCTTGGCTAGTGGCTGGAAGCATCAGCCTTGAAACGTGTCTTACAAGATCAGGCTGTGGAAATTCCCTTGAAGGATATGGCCCACAGGAAGCAAATTATTTTCAGGCAAAAACTCACAATAATAACAGTACATTGTGCCAGAAAATGATAAAAAAAAAAAAAAAAAAAGATAGCAAACACGAGGCTATGGATTTAGTGGCAGCCTGTTGAAGAAAAATTAGAGGAGAAAAGGAAAGAAATGCTTTTTAGAGTACCAAATTGTTGATAATTTTCTATCAGTAACAGAAAGTAAAAACACACAGAAAGACAAAGGTGTTTGAGTGGAACCAGCAACATCACCCCACAGGTACATAGTTTTAAAGGACTTAATAGGATTTTTGCTTCAAAATGCCCTTGTGTTCTCAGTGTACTTTCACCAGTAGTTTCCAGACTCCTGAGACTTTTTCCAATGAATGCAAGGACCGGTAATTGCAAGCTGAAGTCCACTGCTGATGGGCGCCCCCCCATAGCTATCGTCATCAGCAACTGTGTGCCAGGGCTCTGCAGGACTTGGGATAAACACCCATGATCTGTGTGCTGAGCAAACTGCATCTTCTTGTGCCTACCGAGGCATGGTGTCCAGCATCAAGGCAGAAAGCACCCTCAAGCTTCCATGCCAGGCTCCTGCTTACTGGCTACCACCAAAAAGAAGCAGCAGAGGCTGGGGGCTTGTGGGATTTCACGTTGACAGATTAGCACTATACTGAAGAAATCAGCCTGGGATTACTAATGCCCTAAGACTGTGGCTCCTGAGTCCTGATGGTGGACAGGTAAGTCCTGTGAGAGGCTTTGGGGAGACATCAGGATGTCTTGGACCACCTTGCTGCCCTGGGCTATGGGAAAGGTTCAATGTGCAGGAAGAGCACTGCTGAGAAATGCATGACCAATGTCAAAAACCCACTGCAGACCAAGCCTGGCAAGCAAGCAAATAAGTTCAATTTTTGTGTGTGCCTCCACGTAACCTCCCTT